CCCCCCCCCCCTTTTTTTAAAATCCCGGGGGGGGGGGGGGGGGCCGTCCTCCCATCCCCCCCTGGGGTGGTCCGTTTTTTTTTTTTTTTTTGGGGGGGAATTTTTTTTTTTTCCCGCCCCAAATGGGGGGGAAATGGACGGGGCCCTAAACCGCCCTTGCCCCCAAAGGGAAGGGGGGGCCCAACCCGTTCCGGATTTTTGGGCCTTCCCCGGGGGTCCGGGGTAAAGTTTCAGGGGGTACAGGAATTTGAAGAGGGGCCCTTTTTCCCTTTTTTCAAATTGGCCCGGGGGGGGTTTGGCCTTGGGGCCCCTCGGGAAATTTTTTTTTTTTTTGCCGGACCCCCCCCCTTCCAGGGGGAGAAATGCACATGGGTGGAGAGGTGCCTTTTCCCCCTGAAGGGGCCCCCCCCCCCCCCCCCCCACGCCGCCCCCAGGCCCGGCACGCGGCAGCGGCAGAGCGGCACGCGACCAGCGGCGGAGCGGCCAGCGCGCAGCGGGCCAGCGGCCAGCGGCCACAGCCGGCCCCCAGGGCGCCCCAGAGCGTGACCGGTCCCGCTATGGATATGCCCAACCCACAAAATGAATACGCATCGCCTTATGCTCTGGTTTCGGGTGCGTAACCTGGTGCGTAGACAGGCGCAGTTATCAAAATACAGCAGATATGAAGGCCGGCCCTCAGCCCGGACCTGCTCACAGCGCATATTTTCCTTCGAAAACAGCACAGAATACTCAATGTTGGCCCTGCCCCGCACTTACGCAGCATAATTTTACCAATTCAGGCCCATCGACGACCGCGTTACGCATGACGTATCATGTATCCGCATACGTACCCCCTCCTGGCGCCACAGCCTGGAGGCGCTGACGTACTACGTATACGCATTATGTTTCTGCACTCGCCAAAACGCCCGCGAGACGATTGCCTGGCCAATGATTTCAGGCTCCCGCGCTGCCTTGCTAATCGAATCCCAATTGTCAAACTCGCGAAAATCTACGTGCGTCCTCTGCATGATGGCCCCGCCTCGGACCGCGTCGTCAGAGGGCGTTATGCTGATCCCAGCCATCGCCAAGAACAGCACGACTGGCTACAAGAACGTGCGTGTCCTACATCCGCGGCAAAAAGAAGTTCAAGGCGGATGTGAGAGATGGCGGCAAGCATGTCCACCTCGGCTGCTTCGACACCGCCGAAGAGGCGGCCGTCGCCTACGCTCGCTCAGAGTACGGCCGCGCCGACGCCGCCAAGCTGCTGCAGCCCCGCCCCGCTCCCACTCCCGCTGGCGCCGAGGCGATACGGCAGGCGGAGAGGGAGGGCCTCGCCCTCACCGCCAGTAGCAGCAGCAACACCGGCTACAAAGGCGTCCGCCACTGCCCGAAGCAGCGAGGCAGCAAGAAGTACAATCTGGAGGTGAGGACTGGTGGCAAGATGGTCACCCTCGGCTGCTTCGCCACCGCCGAGGAGGCGGCGCTCTTCTATGCCCGCAGGGAGGCGGGCAAGGACACGCTAGCCAGCGATCTCACTGCGCCGCCGCTGCCGCCGCCGCCGTCCTCGACCTCTGCGGAGCTGCCAGTGTACGAGCTCAGCATTCTGACGCCTGAGCAAATGCGAAATGGCCGCCAACCCGACATATAGTCCATCGTCCAATTTGGACTATAGTCGAGCGCGTCGGAGAGGTGTTTGGAGACAGGCTCATGATTATGCAGCAGCCCTAGCACTTGGAGCACTAGCGGCAGCGCCAACTTATGGCAGCCCTAGCGGCAGCGCCAGAGTGCGCGCACATAAAGGGGGGGGTGGGGGGGTTAGGGGGTGGCTGTCGAGGGCTATGCCCGAGTCTGTTGTTACCAGCGCACATACAATCCTAGCCAGCTTATGGCAGCCCTAGCGGCAGCGCCAATTTATGGCAGCTCCCTAGCGGCAGCGCGAAGTTAGGGTTAGGGGTTAGGGTTAGGGGTGGGTAGGTGGTTAGGGGTTAGGGGTTAGGGGTTAGGGGTTAGGGGTTAGGGGCTAGGGGTTAGGGGTTAGGGGTTAGGGGTTAGGGGTTAGGGGTTAGGGGTTAGGGGTTAGGGGTTAGGGGCTAGGGGTTAGGGGTTAGGGGTTAGGGGTTAGGGGTTAGGGGTTAGGGGTTATTAGGGGTTAGGTGGGCGGATGCGTCAGACGTATGCGTAATACGTGAGGCGTAACCCTTGCTGGCCGCCACTTCTCAGTCAAATCCGTCGTGCGTGTGCGTAATACGTGGGACGCGTAAGCTCCCCCCGACACCCATGGCGACCGATGCGTCAGACGTATGCGTAATACGTGAGGCGTAACCCTTGCTGGCCGCCACTTCTCAGTCAAATCCGTCGTGCGTGTGCGTAATACGTGGGACGTAAGCTCCCCCCGGACACCCATGGCGAGCGATGCATCAGACGTGTGCGTAATACATGAGGCGTAATCCCCTCTCCGCCGCCGTTCACGGTCGAGAGCGTAGTGCATGTGCGTAATGCGTCGGTCATAGGCCCACCCAGCCCCGATTTACGATCCCACTGCGTAAGACGTGTGCGTAATACACCGTGCGTAGCGCCCCGAGAGAGCCTCTCTGGCAAAGCTTACATAAAACAGATGCGTGGTGCGTGGTGCGTAGCGGCCAGAAGGTCGGTGGTAACGATCGGTGCAGAAGACGTGCGCATAATACGCAGCACATCTGAAATCACCGATCGGGCTTTCTGTCTGTACGCGTGAAGCGAGGCGTATGCGTGACGCATCACTGAGCCGCCACCCGGCTTGACACGGCACCAAAATACACGACGTCTCAGCGACGTCCTACGAACCGTGGCCATGGATGTGCATAAGGTGGCCAACAATTGCATTAGTGGCTCTTACATATCCATAGCGGGCTCTGGGCCGGCGCGGGGCCCCCCGGAGGCACCGTGCGCCGCGGCCGCCGCAGTGCGGAAACGGGGCTCCGGCGCTCAGAGTCGCTCAGAGCACCGACTTCCCGATTAAGTACGGTTAAGTAGAGGGCAGATTTGGAAAGATCTCGAGGAGTACATACAGATAGACCCTCCAACCATCAGAAAACTCCGACCTGATCGGTCGTACTGACCGCCGACAGATCACTCCAGACAGCAGACAGGCCGACGTCTGCACGCGGCCGGCCGGGCGAGAGGCTTGACACGATCCGACCCTGCGACCCTGACGCTGCTGCTCTAGCTATCAGCCATGCACTGCTGACTGCTGCCACAATGTGCGACCTGTGCTGGCCCACTTGGCGGCCTTCCCGGTCAGTGGTGAGGCGCAGTTCAGAGCTGTCGATGGCGCGATGCCGCACTGGTCCCACATTGGTGACACGAGACCACCACGTTTGCCGGTCCAAGAGAGAGGCACCGGCGCTGTCCTGAGAAGGTGCGTGGTCCCTCTTGACTGCCCATGCGCGCGAGGCTGTGTAGGCATAGCCTCGAGAGTGCCAGCAGCCAATCCGAGGTGACGCGCATTGCGCCAGAAGCGTGCACGCAGCTGGAAGGACACCTTCCTACTGGCCGATCGGTCGTCACTGAATGCTTGATACTAAGGCCGCGAGCTATGCATGTGATCAATTGTGCAGCATGGCACGGTCAGCAGCGCCGACAGGCTGTCGCAAGGCGTGATAGCATGGCCGCAAGTACGCCGAATTCCCATGAAAACAAGTAAATAATCGCGAAAAAAGAAAAATAGCCAAAAAATCGCTGCGGCGGGCCATGGGACCCCATCTCCCCCCCGCATGGACACCCTCTGGGGCCCCCGCGCCGGCCCAGAGATAGCGGGACCGATCACCTCCCAGCGCGCAGCGGGCCCTCCGCTCCCTACTCTACACCACCGGCTAGGCCCGACTCACCCTTAGGGGATGTCCGGGTCCGTCATTACTTTCTTTTTACTTACTCTAGCTGTCGCATAAAAACGTCCCTAATTTTCGATTGCGTCGTGTGTGTCCGAGGCGTCGTCCTCAGGGGCGGCGGCGAGGGGCAGGAGTGGTGTTCCGGCGGCGCGCGGCGCTGGCGAGCGATGTGGTGCGAGAAGCTGGTGGCTGGTGCGGGGATGAGCCTCCGCGCGCGGCGCAGTCTCCGCGGCGCAGAGAGGGGCGCGAACTCGGTGCCGCGGCCTGTCATATAGTGAACTGCCGCCGCGGCCCCCGTGCGCGGCGACTCGAGCCCCCACCTCCTGAGGCCTCGGCTCAGCTCGAGGCCGCTGCGCCGCCGGCGCTCAGCGGAGGGATAGTCGCGCGCACGTCGCTCAGGACGAAGCCCGTCCTCAACCCTTGCGCCTTGCGCGTGAACTTGAGCTGCGGGGCGGCGGAGGGGCGGGGCGGGGGAAGGGCGTGAGAGGCGGGCGTCCGGTGGGTGGAATCGGGTGCGGAAGGGAGAGGGGCGAGGGAGCGGGAGGCAGACGACAGGGACGGGGTAAGGGCACCTGCAGCCGCAGCTGCGCCGCGTCCTGGCCCAGCTGCTTCCACTGCTTCTCCTGCTCCTTGTCCAGCAGCAGCTCGTCGACCTGCGCACAACTCGAGCTGTGAAACGAGCGGTCCTCACGCACCCCCGCTCCTCCGCAGTCGCCGACCTGGCAGCTGAAGGTGCGCGCGTCGTCGCCGTCGCCCGAGACCAGCGTCGCCTTGACGCCGGACTTGAAGGCCACCTCCTCCGCCGCGCAGTCCCGCCGGAGCAGCATCTGCGACTGCTGCAGCACGTTGCGCCCGTCGGCAATGAGCGTCACTACGCGGCCGCTCTCCTGCGGGGACGCGTCGGGGCGGGCGTCACGCGCGCGCGCCACGGACCGACGCCGGATGAGCCACCACGGAGGGGAGGGGAGGGGAGGGGAGGGGAGGGGAGGGGAGGGCGCGCCTGCTCAAACTCGATCGTCAGCTGCGCCGCGCCCTTGCGCTCCTGCGCCTCGCGCGCGTCTTCCTCGCGCTCCTTGCGCAGCATCTGGTAGGCCTGCCCAAACACGCCCTGCCCCCACCCCTTCTGCAGCTTCTCCGCCTCCGCCTGCACCTCGTGCACCTGCGGACGGGTCGGGTGGCTGGGTCGGTGTGGCCGGGTCGGGGTGGCCGGGCGTTGCTGCGGGCGGGCGTCGTGGGTGGGTCCGGTGGCCCTAGGGTGTGTGGTGGGTGTAAGCCCGGTGTGCCAGAGGCGGACTGGGGTGCTGTCCTCCAGCGCGACAACGCGTGTGGCGTGAGGACAGCGGCTCGGAAGCTGGTCTCTCGACAGGTCTCGGAGTGCTGCGTGAGTAGTCTGTGCGAATGCCACCTCCTCATCCATCATCCGCTCCGCCTCGAGCAGCTGCTCCCAGATCCCAAAGGGAAGCAAGCCGCGGTTGAAGAGGCGCACCATGCGCGGGTGGTCGCGCTCAAGCTGCTCTATCAGCGGTATGTCCGCCATCGCGCGCTTGAGCAGCGCGAGCGGCAGCGTGCGCTTGTCTGGCGGCTTGGACTCGCGCAGCTCGTCATAGTCGTCGATCTCAATGGGGAGCTCGAAGTTGTACTGCTTGTCATCGAGCGCCTCGTAAACCTCCGGATTCTCGAGCACCTGACGCGGGAGCCGCAGACGCCGGTGAGCGCCGGAGAACCGCCGCGCAGGCTCGCAGGAGGCCGTGTCTGCGTGCTCAGCAGAACGCCGCACAAGGCAGAGCAGCAGTGTCTGCGTGCAAGCGGCCCGCCACGATGCGTCGGCAGCGCCTCGCGCGACCGACGCGCTGTGAGGGACAGCGCGGGGCGCGCCAAACGGACTGCTCCTGATGCTGCCAGCAGGCGGCAAGGCGCAGCGAGCGCGCAGCAGAGAGTGGGTCGCGTGCAGGTGCTGAGCGAGGCGTTCTGGGCGCCGGGTGTGCTGCGCGGTGGAGGCCGCTCCTGCTTCTCTTGCCGCTTGTCCACCACTAGGAAGATGTAGCCGGCATAGCAGAGCAATGACGTCGTCAGAAGCAAAACGAGTGTCAGGAACCACATGCGCCGCGCGGCACCGAGAGCGGCGCGCCCACGGCCTACAGCGAGCACAGGGGCAGCCTGTGAGCCCAGCGCGACGTGCAGAGGCTGGTGTTTGCAGCACACGTGGGCTTGCTGCAAGCAGCTCGGGGGGGGCAAGCTGCTCCAGGAGCGAGCTGGCGTGGGGGGCAAGCTGCTCCAGGAGCGAGCTGGCGTGGTTGCGAAAAAAAAACGCTAAGCTCAAAAAAAAACGACGCAGTGAAAAAGATGATGGAGAGACAGGGGCGGATGAGAAGCTGTTCCCAGAGGGAGCGCCCCAGAGGCACATAAACTGGCAGAAAGAAAGCAGCGAGCTGGCGTGGTTCGAGAAAAACCCGGTTCTCTTTCTTGTGGTGTGGTGCTGCTCACTGAGATCGCTTAGCGTTAGGGCTAGCCGCAGGCAGCTAGCCCATGAGGAGGGCGTCCATAGACACCTCACCGTCTCGTCCTGCTGGGGGGGGCGACAGGGAGGATGTGGCCTTGAGTTATGTGTACGCCAACTCAGGGTGTGTGGCAGCCAGCTGGCTGTGTGTCTTGTGAGCTTGTTTGTGTCTGTGTGTCGCTCGTGCGTGTCGTCATCATCTGTCCAGCGTCCACCCATACCGCGTTGGTGTCCAGTCCGAGCCTGGCTGTTCTTCACCTTTCTACCTACCTAGCGTTTCTAAGTCTTAAGCGCCAGATGGCGCGGTGGCAGCTCTGTTCGGCTCCGCTCGGCTCCGCTCGGCTCCGCTCGGCTCCGCTCGGCTCCGCTCGGCTCCACTCGGCTCCGCTCGGCTCCATCCACTCGTCTCGCTCGCTCGGCTCCACTCACAGCACACTGGCACGACAACACAATGCCGCTCTCCCCGCATGCTAGCTCGTTCACCGACACCGTCTGCCACGCCACAAGTTCGGTGTGGATGGAGGACGACGGACAAACGCTGCATTTGCAGGCCGTGCCACTTCTTGGTTGTCCATGTGACCTCGTCCAAAAAGAATTCCAAGGCCCACAGGCATCAAATCCTTCCAAAATCCTGCTCGTGCAGGTGTGGGGACCCTGTCCTCCTCCCCCATCCCCTCGTTTGGGTTTGTCTGTTTCTTTCTTTCTTTCTTTTTTGTCCTTACAAGACCCTGCTCGTGCAGGTGGGGACCCTGTCCTTCTCCCACCCCTCGTTTCGGCGTGTACGTTTTATTTATTTATAGACTTGTGTGGACCGATCCTAGCGACGTCGTCAGCACAGCCCGTGACGCGCAGCCCCCACAAAAAAAGAGGAGTGTGTCCCTCTCAGAGTCAGAGGAACTCACGAACCACATGCCAGCCGCGCGGCACCCGAGAGTGCGGCTGCGGCGCACACCGCACCTACTGAACGGCGGCAGCATCGCCAAAAAGAAACGCAAAAAGCGTCACGGCCGAAGTTCGTTTAATGTACAAGAGTGACGAGAGAGAGGGTTCGCTTCGGCGTGGACACATCAGTCGGCGGTTTCTCTTCCTCTCGCCCTGCCAAGCTACTGATCCTTGCCACCCTCCTCGTCGTCCCCGTCGTCCCCGTCGTCCGTGGGAGGCGCGTTCACGCTTGACTGTCGCGCTTGCTACACACATTGAGGCAAACGGCTGAGGCTTGGGATGGGCGTGGGGGAGGGATTGGACTGCTCTTGGTGATTCGGGGGTTGTTTCTCTGCCAGAGAGGCGTGCCTCTCGACAAGCTTCGCCCATGACTTGCCCGTAGTCTCGGACTCTCGGTGCATCTCTCGACCGGTTTTCAATCTCGGGCCAATCTCGCGAATGGGCGCGCGCCTTGACGAGGAGCATCGCTCGTTGCACGCGCGCCTTCTCGCTCTCCGACAGGACGTCGGTCGGCTTGCGCCCGCGCAGCATCGCCCACACGGCCGTCGCGGCGATCACCACCAAGGTCAGCATAAAGACGACCGCCAGCAGTATATGTTTAGTCCGCACACCCCCCTCGAACCTCGCCTGCCTCACCTCCCTCTCGAGGTGCCTGTAGGCGGTGCCGTGGCATGCCGTGTGGATGTGCCGTGCTCGGCTGTGGACTTGCGAGCCACGAGTCAGCCCGGTGGGAGTGTGTAGCGGGCGAGGGAGTTCGGAACTGTCTCGGGAGCGTCTCGGAAGTGGCATCATCCGCACCCGGACGCGTCTCGGCTGTGGTTGAGCAGCTCTCGACTCCGCCGCACCTGAAAGAGGAACTGTCTCGGATGCGTCTCAGGGGTATCTCAAACAGTGAATGGGTAGCTCCGCTTGGCGCACTTCCATGGTCGCCTCCTTCAGCTGCACGCGCATGGTCCGGATCTGCTCGCGAGCCTCCTCCCGTTCGTGCTCCAGCGCCGCGTAGTGCGCATCGCTCTCGTTGCGCAGCGTTTGCTGCGGATTGGCCGAGAGGGACAAGCGAGCGATCCATGAGGTCCGAGCTCAGGGGTGGGTGCGTGGGCCGTCCAAAAGGTGAGTGTGCTCACTGCACCTGCAGCGCACGAATCTCGGCTCTGAGGCCGTCAAGCTCCTTCTTTGAGCTCTGCTTCACCTGCCACGTAACCAGGCCAACCGGAGCAGTGTTGCAGGTGGGCAATCGACAAGGCCGATGGAGAAGTGGACGCAGGCAGGTGGCGAGGAGCAGTGGGGGGGCACGAGCCTCCTTGCGCGCCTGCTCGATGGTCCGAACGCTCGTGAGGCCGACCGTTTCAAGGATTCCCGCCCTGCTGCCCTGTGCGCCCCACTGTTTCGCTGGGAAAGCTGCCGCCCCGAGCAGTAGCGCGAGGCTCAAACGGAGGGGCCTCATCTGGGACACGAGCGTCACCGTCCGTCAAAACTTGCTTGCAAGTTCAGTTCGCGAGCTGGGTTCCGGCCCATGTGATCTGTGATCTGTAAGGGTCCGCCCGCAGGCGCATTTTGTATACCGAGGCGGTGCCCGGTGCCGAACCTGTCGGACCTTAAGACAGCGTTGTAGATCCCTGGGCGAGGGTGATGGAGGGGGAGAGGGCGGTCCGGCGGCGGAGCACCCACCTCCTCCCGGCGTGCCGGGAGGGGTTCCGGCCCATGTACGTACGTCCGCGCGGGCGGCGGCGCCCAGGTGCCCCATCCCGTATTGGTTCTTAACGATCATACCCGGAGGGACCTTCCTACCGTGTGATCTGATGAGCTGTGAGCGTGAGCCCCGTGACTCTGTGAGCTCTCATGAGCAAAAAGTCAAAATAATTCCGACATCCGAGACGCAGCTCGCAGGGCGACAAAGTGCGACGGGAGAGCGACTAAACACTATCAAATTGACCCTCGCGCGCATGCGCAACGCAGTACTCCTCAACAGCTATAAGGCGCGGGCCTGCCCAGGCCGAGCCCAGCAAATTCGATTCTTCACTTCAACGGCCACTCCTCGGACGACTCAGCGCCAAAGCTCACCCGCGGCCCCGCCGCCCCGCCGAGCTGGTTCACCTGCGGGGGGAGGTGGGAGCTCCTGGGCAATCTTGCTACAGCGCGCATCTCGGCTCCCATCTCGGCTCCCATCTCGGCGCCTATCTCGGCCGCCATCTCGGCTCCCATCTCGGCTGTCATCTCGGCTGCATCTCGGCCGCCTCCTCGGCCCACTGCTTCCACAGCGCCCTCCGCTCCTCGTCCGACGTGGCGGACGAGGTGTCTGAGTTCACGGCGTGCGGACTCACGACGACCTTTCCCAGCACGGCGTAGTCCTGGCACGCCCGCATCGTCTTGACGTGCTCGCCCTCGTCGATGGCGATGTTCTCGAAGACGTCCAGCAGCGAGTCGCAAGCCGGCCTCCTGCTGCCCGGCTTGCGGTCGACCTGGAAGTCGTCGAAGTAGTACAGGTCGCCCTCGGTGTAGTAGGACCGCGCCACGGCGGGCGGCGGCAGCTGCGACAGCCGCTCGCGGTTCTCCTTGACGAAGGTGGAGTATGTGTCCACCGCGTGGGCCTCGAGCAGCTCCATGAACTGGTAGGCGATGCGCGGCGAGCAGAGGTAGACGCCGATAAGGAACCAGTAGTAGGCGAAGGCGACGTGGTACCCGAGGAAGCGATCCGACCACTGCGCGTTGCCGCCGAGCGCCTCCATGATGAGGAGGTGGTGCAGCTCGTTCCACTCCTCCGCGTTGTGCACCTTGCGCAGTTCGGGCCCGCGCCACCAGCCAAACGACTCGTACAGGTGCAGCATCGACACGTAGGAAAAGTACGGGATGCGGGCGATGATCTCGAGGAACCAAAAGCGCTGGATGGGGCGCTGGTCGAAGAGGTTGTCCAGCAGCAGGCAGCCCACGTCGTAGAGCGTGCGCGACACGGGGTGCGCGTCGACGCTCCCTCCCGCCGCCTCGCGCCGCCGCTCCGCCTCCTTGACCGCCTCGTTCGAGAGGCTCAGCCTGCGGAGAGCCGGAGGCGAGCCGGGGGCGAGCGTCGACGAGGCGCTCTCTGCTTCCAGGGGAGACGAGGCGGGCGGCAAGGCGGTGCGTGAGACGAGGCGGCAAGGCCGTGCGTGAGACGAGGCGGCGGCGCACCCGAGACACGCCGGGGGACGGAGCGGGTCTCCCGGCAGCAGCCCGACCGTCTCTCCGATCTGTGAGAGGATGGTGCGACCCTGCTTGACGAAGTTGGTGGCGGCGAGGGCCCAGGCTGCGTCGGGCTTGTCGCCGTCGAGGTAGCCCTCCGAGATGGGCAGGTACGGGCTGCTGGGCTTGCTGTCACCGAGGCCGTCGCTGCTGGCGCCGCCGCTGGAGAAGCGGAAGCCGCTGCGCTTTGTCGAATCGGTCGCGACGCCGCGCTCGTCCGCCATGGTGAGGCGCGCTAGCCGTGACGATGCGAGGTGTGGGCGCAGCCGAAGTGGCGGGAGCGTGAAGGCCAGTAGGAGCGGTGTGAAGGATGTCAAGAGCATGTGCTCTTGAGCCTCCGGCCGCCAGCGCCTTGCCAGCCGCCTTGCTCGACCAACTGGCTATGGAGCTTATGAGGGTTGGCTGGAGTCGACTTGGAGGGTGAATCGGACGTTTTTTCTTTTGGCGGCCGGAGGAGAATGACGGCCTCTTCGACGGCCCATAAGGGGCCGTTGTCTGCTGTGTCTTTTGTGGTGCTAGTTCGTGCCAGTCTGCTGTGAGAGGGGCTTGTGAATGTAGAATTCTTTTTGGGATTTGCGGCTTTTAGGATTCTCCGCCTTCCTTCCTACTACTCTCTTGCGTCTTGGATTTTTTCCTTCTCACAACCCCCCCCCCCCCTCCCCCCCCCCCCCCGGGTATACGTTTGTCTTGTGCGCCCGGGATACCTTCGTAAGATTTGTGATGCGCATGGAGCCTGAGAGGGAGGGTGTAGAGGATGTAGAGTGTAGAGCGCTGTAGAGCTGTAGAGATGTAGAGCGCTCTGGAGCGCTGTAGAGCAATGTAGAGCTGTAGAGCTCTACATCCACCGCGTGACGAACTGCCTCCGTTGTAGAGCGATGTAGAGGCGCTCTACAACGTGAAATCTCTACAACAAACTCTACATCATAAGCGGCGAACGAGGCACGGTCGCTCTCCGACATGAGGCGCGTTGCACTTGCCAGTGCTGCCCTGGCCTTCTGTCTGCCCGCCCAATGGGTGGCAGGTGCCTCTGCTGCTGTGGCATGCCTCGCGGCTGCGACTGGCCGGCGCCTCGGCGCGTCAGCTCGGCTCGGCGTAGCGATCGTGGCCAGCGCAACTCGCTTGGACTCAACGCTCAGCCAGGAGCTCCCGCACGCGCTGGCGCGAGTCATGGCGCATGCAACGCGTCTAAATGCTCGCCTCGCCTCGCGCAAATGCGACCGTCCTCGCAGCCGACAGTCCACCGCCTGCTAAAGAAGCACAGCGACGAATGCGGCACCGGCGACGCATGGCAGGCTGGTCATGACGCAGTTATAGGGTGTTGTGTGCCGTCAGAGTGACTCTCTGTGTGTCAGGGATAGTCAGGGCCGTCCATCAGAGCTCCAGTAAGCTCGGAGACACCCCATTAGTGCGACTCGACCTCTTTGAGTCACTGCCTTCCCGGCGGTTTGGCTGTAAGTAGAGCCTCTACCTCGAGGTACAACAAACTCTACAACAAAATCGCGCTCTACATCGCTCTACAACGGAGGCAGTTCGTCACGCAGCCGATGTAGAGCTCTACAGCTCTACAGCGCTCCAGAGCGCTCTACATCTCTACAGCTCTACAGCGCTCTACACTCTACATCCTCTACACCCTCCCTCAGCATGGAGCTAACCTTGCGTCCATCGATCGAGTGCCGGGTGCTTGTGGGGGGAGGAGAGAGAGAGTTGTTGTGTTGTTTGTTGCTTGTGGGCCGCTGCGCAGCGGCGAATTGAGCCGGAGAGCGGTGCAGCACGAGCGGCAGGATGGCGTGCCTGAATGAGGCGTCCTCTTGACCGGACGGGAAAAGAATTTTTCGTGAAAAAACTGACACAGTACCGTCGGGTCTCTATTTTAAGATGTGGTAAACAGCAATAGATCCGGGTGTAGTGCCGGACTGAGGGAGGGTGTAGAGGATGTAGAGTGTAGAGCGCTGTAGAGCTGTAGAGATGTAGAGCGCTCTGGAGCGCTGTAGAGCTGTAGAGCTCTACATCGGCTGCGTGACGAACTGCCTCCGTTGTAGAGCGATGCAGAGCGCGATTTTGCTGTAGAGTTTGTTGATGTTGTAGAGGCTCTACAGCGCTCCAGAGCGCTCTACATCTCTACAGCTCTACAGCGCTCTACACTCTACATCCTCTACACCCTCCCTCAGGTGCCGGATCAGTTCCTGGAGCCCAGGGGGCCGATTCGCGCTTGCCAAGGGACCAATTGCTGGCACCCGGGCGGGCCCGGGGGGGGGGCACAGACCCGTTGCCACGCCGGTGGGCGAGCCAAACTCTGGCGGAGGCAGCCAGCCCGCTCACCCCCAGGCGCCCCTCGAACCGGAGGGTGGTCTGCCGCCGCTGCGCGAGCGGCGCGCCGAGGGCGGGAGACATATATCAGCTTCGCGCCACAGGTGACCTGGGAGGGCCGATTCTCGGCAAGTTTGGCAGGGCGCTGGGCAGCGGAAGGATCGATTGCTGTACAACGAGGGACCGATTCCGTGAGGGCCGGGTATCGATTAGGCCGCTTGAGGGCCGGATCTATTGCTGTTTACCGCATCTCAAAATAGAGACCCGGCGGTATTGAATCGTACAGATGGGTGGGGTGTCTATGGTAGGGGCGTGCGCCCGGAGCTGCCCGGAGAAGGAAAAGAAAACAGAGAGTCGCGGAAGGAGTGGGGAAAGAGGGAAACGGTCCGGCGGAAGGGAGCCCCTCCAAAAGGCCAGCGCTGTGTCTTCTAGTGTATTTATTAACCGTCTCCGCGCACGCAGACCCCCACTAGCCATCCGTCGTCGAGTCCGGTCTCCCATTTGACGGCCAGGTCCACCGCGGCGCTCAGCACGGCGCTCGTCCATGGCACGTGCGTCGGCACCGAGAGGTTGCGCGGTGCGCCGTCCGGCATTCGGGCAGTCTTGTGCTTGTGCCTTGTGCGCCTTCGCGTGCACTCGTCGAACTCGTCCGCGTGAACTCGCCGCGCCGTCCCGTCTGGTGCTTGAGCCAGTAATGCCAAATCCGCTGTCAGCCCGCCTCGCCCGGCTCGCGCTGGCCGCCGCCATACCGTTGGCCTCGGCGCTCCTCGCGAGTCCGCCCTGGTGGCTGACCCGAGCCCTCCTCGCGAGCGGCCGGTTGGTGTCTCCGCAACGGCGACTGGCTGCGTGGGACGCTCTGCAGCGGCGGGCGGACCAGAGGGCGCGCGGTTCGCGGCGGAGGGTTCGTGTGCTGCTCATACGTCACGGAGAGAGCGAGGCCAACCTGCAGGCAGGACAAATCGTCGGAGGGCGTGATGTGGCGACGCCGCTGTCAGCAACAGGCGAGGAGCAGGCGCGGCTGCTGGGAGAGAGGCTGCTGCGCGACGGACTGCGAGTCGACGCCGTCTACGCGTCGCACGCCGTCCGCGCGCGCAAGACGGCGGACATCGCGTGTGCCGCGGCGGCCATCCGTCAGCGAGTCCGCATCGAGCCGCGGCTGGTCGAGTTCTCTCAGGGTCCCACGAGCTGCGGCGGCGTCACGCCTCGGCTCTTCACACCCTCGCGCTCACGCGTCGCCGGGTGGTTTAGGCTCGCTCGAGCGGCGGTGGCGCGCAGAGGTGTACGCCGCCGGCGGGCCGGTGCTGCGCGGCATCGCGGCGCCCTCCGCCGCCTCTGCTCCGCCACCGCTGCTCCGCCTCTTCTCACACCTCCGTGCGCGCAGGCGCACTCGCTCTTTTACCGCCCACCCGGCCGCTCTCCCGACGGCGACCTCGGCGAGTCGCAGTGGGACGTGGAGCGGAGGATGCGCGCGCCAGATACGCCGAGATACGCCGACCGAGTGACACCCACCCAGCTGCGTGTCACACCTCGTCGTCAGGATGCGAGCTCCCGTCATGCGCCTCCTGTTCACACCTGCTGTTCACAGCTCCCGCCATGCGCCTCCTGTTCACACCTGCTGTTCACAGCTCCCGCCATGCGCCTCCTGTTCACACCTGCTCTTCACAGCTCCCGCCATGCGCCTCCTGTCAGCCGCGCCTCTCCGCACTCTCCACCTCTGTCCCTGTCGTGTCCGTGTCGGTTTCGCAGGCGCTCTTTCATCGAGGCAGAGCTCCTCTCGGGGGAGGGAGGGGGCGGGGGAGGGGCGGGCGGGGAGGGGGAGGAGGAAGGGGAGCGGCTTGTCCTCCTCTTCTCGCACGGCGTCGCCATCCGCAGCTTCGTGCGCGGCGCGATCGGCGCGGGCGAGACGTACGCACAGACGAGCAGCGACGAGGTGCGCGCGCCTCTCCACGCGTCTGACCGGCAGTAGGCGACAGGTTCACCGTCCGGAGCTCCACCGACAACACCTCCATCACCGAGCTCCTCTATGCGCGACTGCCCTCGCCAGCCTCGCCCGCCGTAGAGTTGGGGCCGCCCTCCTCTTTCACGCTTGCACGGTGTGGGGCCATACAGGTGCCCGACACGGGCGACCTGGGCGGCTGGCGCCTGCTGCGATTCAACGACGCGGCGCATTTGGCGACGAGCCTCAGGGGAGGCAGTGTTTGCAGCCGGGGCGATGACACGCAGCTCCCTGTCCGCGCATCTTTCCGACGGCAGACAATGTCAACGCTGATATAGCACATTCCGAGTTCGTGTTGACTGTGTGAAGTATGAAGACACCGGTGCGCGGTGCGTGGGAAAACACACAGAGACGGTGTGATCTCACTGGTCTGACACCAAAAGTGTGAGCTGCCTGAGGTGTGACGGACTGCGGGACGCTGCCTCGAGCTGCGCCCGGGCATGCGCGTCGCTGGAGCGGTCTGGAGTGCGGGCCAGCCAGTGGCGCAGTCTGAGCCCTGGCTGTCAGGCTGTCAGGTGCTGCGTCAGGTGATCTGTCGGTCTGTCGGGCAGCTGTCAGGCACTGTCAGGTGCCTCTGTCAGACCAGCTGTCAGGTGCTGTCAGTGGCTGTCGGGTGCTGTCGGGTGCTTGTCTGACTACATCAGAGGTGATCTGTAGCTGTCGGGCGCTGTCGGAGCTGTCGGGTGTTGCTGTCAGACGCTGTCGGAGCTGTCAGAGCTGTCAGGCTGCTGCTGCTGTCAGACGTTGGGCTGTTGCTGTCAGGTGCTGTCAGGTGGTGCTGTCGGGGTGCTGTCAGCAGTCAGGCTCTGACACACACCAGCCACACTTATGACACTATCAAGAGGAGACCAGCAGGACTCTACTACACATACTCTCAGCCTCTCCTCCTACACGGCGTGATCACGCCGGCGGCGGCGGCCGCCTGGGGAGCGCATATGGCGGCGCAGGCGCAGGCGCAGGCGGCGGCACAGACGGCGGCGGCCATCCCCACCCAGACGCCGTAGGCTTATGACTGTAGGGCCCCAGAATAAAATATTCTTAGCTTCAAGCCCCCCTCCGAGACTATAGGGACAGAACCCACCCGTACACAGGAGAGATGGGAGTGCGCCTCGCCCCCACTTGCCCTACCGTGTTTGTTATGACCCCCCCCAATGAACACACCAGTGAGGGTGGGCGAGACGATCGAGGGGTCCCGTACCATGCGGAACCGACCCTATCCAGTGCTCAAGTGCTCAAGTATTTTGCCTGCTTCCTCGGTTTCGCCTCAGATTTTGCCCCAGACCAGCTCTCAGACTCAGGGAAACTCGAGAGTTGCCAGAATGGAGCACCAAACACCCTCTGGTTTCCCTGGAAGTTCCGGAAACCAAAAGTGCTGGGGACCACCCCCTCGTTGCCTTTTTGGTTTCCCCGGAAACATGCATGGGTAACAAACAGGCCAAGCGATATGGGTTGAGGCTCGCAAGACGGGCGGTGACGACGGTCATACAGGAGCGACACACAGAACCACAAGACAAGACACTCTGGCCTTGGGGCGGTCCGACAGCGCGTGGATCCGGCCCGCCCCGGCGGGTTACGTACGGTTTATTTATTTAGCGCGCCGACAGACCGCCCTCCCTCTCCATCACCCTCGCCCAGGCAGGGATCTACAATCAATGCTGTCTTAAGGTCCGACAGGTTCGGCACCGGGCACCGCCTCGGTATACAAAATGCGCCTGCGGGCGGACCCTTACAGATCACAGATCACAAGAAGATCACGAATCGACCCTATCAAGTGCTCAAGTGCTCAAGAAGATCACTCAGCCTTGGCCGCCCCAAACACCAAACTGAATCCTTGCGACGGTGAGACCGTGAGCGTCCCAAAATGGCAAAAGAGGCCGGGCAGCAAAACGAGCGGCCCACGGCGCGACGAAGGGGGTTGTTCAAGCTGGGGCTGCTGGCCAAGTTCAGGCCCCGTCCGGGCGGTGTGGGAACCCATCCGGGTGAGGAAGTAGACCACCAAACAAAGAATGAGGCTGCGCTTGCCCGCGCGCGCCAGCCGCGAGCGCCAAGGGTGCCAGACGGCAAGGGGGCCGTGGCGGCGGGGCCGGACACGCCGCGCGCGCTGGATGAGGAGAGCAGCAGTTACGACTCCCTCCTCCTCGACGAGGCGGAGCTTGCCGCCGAGGCGCGTCCACCTCCCCCTCCTGGTCCTTGTCCACCGCCAAAGAGCATATGTCGCACATGCCCAGCATAGGGCTGCGGAGTGCCACGCGCCGATCAAGTCTGACAGCGTCCGCTCCTCCCCGGCAGGCGGACCTGGCTGCCATGGAGGCCCTCGAGCAGGCTGGTGGAGGCGGAGGCGCGGGTGCCTTTGGCAGGCCGGGCCAAGGATCAGGCGGAGAGCAATCGGCCGTATTGGCCTACAGGACTTTGGGCCTCTCGGATGATGCGACATACGACGAGGTCACGGAGGCAGCCGAGACGCTGGCGGAGGTGTGTGGCAAGAGGCCGCTGCAAGACACAGCCCCTCGTGGGGCTAGCCCGCCACTGCTCTTGTAGCTCGGCAACCCTCCCTGTCTCATGGTCTGACTGCTCCGCCCAACCCCTTCTCCAGGTGTACGATGGGGACCCCGCGCGGCAGGCCGAGATTGAGGACGCCAAGCGGAGGGTCCTCGAGGATCGCTCCTCCATGCTGAGGAGCTTTGCCGCGCAAAGTAGAGCGAGGCTGCTGCCGGCGACGGACGTCAGGGAACGCGCGGCGGCGGACACAAGCGAGACCGATGCCCCGCACGTCGCCTCGACCCCGCCATGCGGCGAAACCGAATGCGAGGCAGATGATGTACCGAAAGAGGCACCACCCGAAGTCGTCAAGGCACCTGACGATGACGCGGTGGCGTCCACCGCAGCTCGAGAGGGCATGGTAGCTGATGGCACATTGGCGGAGGCCGTGGCGGTGGCAGATGCGGCGGAGATGGAAGATGCGGAGGCGGCAGCAGAGGCGGCCGAGGCGGAGGCGGCCGAGTCGGCCGAGGCGGAGGGGGAGGCAGAGAGAGCGGCAGCAACTGCGGTGGTGGCAACAGTTGCGGCTAGATCGTCAGGCGATGGAGCGGCTGATGTGGCGGTGGCGGTGGTAGAGGCGGAGGGAGAAGCTGCAGATGAGCTGGCGGCGTTGGAGCCGCTGGCGTCTGTGCCACGAGTGGCTTCGCACGCCTCGTCGCTCTCATCGCTCTCGACGCTCTCATCTCTCTCTTCTGAGGGAGAGGAGAGCCCTCTCCGCCGGAGAGACAGCATCGGGGCAGTGGAGGCTAGGAGCGGCGGCGGGTGGACCAGCAACCCCTCCTCGCAGCTGACTGAAGGGGGAGGGGCGGCGGAGCAGGCAAACGTCGGCCTGCATCTGGATGCCACCGAGCGGCAGGCGGCCTCCCTCGCGGGGGTCCAGGCGGCGAAGGCGGGCGAGTCAGGAAAGGCAAAGGGCGGTGGCACAGAGGGCGAGGTGATGGCGGGGGGGGCGGGCGCGCCAGAGCGCAGCGAGTCGGTTGCAGCCCCTGGAAGCATCGCCTCCCCGCGTTTGGCTCGGGCGGTCGCCAGGGCCGAGAGTGGGTCAGCGCGCGTCACCGCGCACAGCTCCATCACTGACCCCAGAAGCTCGGCCGGTGCAGCGAAGGTGGTGGATGAAGCGGCGGCAGTGGCGCCCGGAGCGGAGCGAGAATCCTCCGGCAGCTGTTCACTCCTCTCTTGCTCCGACACGTCTGCAGCCGAGGCGAAGGAGGCGATTGAGGCGGCGGCGACGCCCTGTGCTGAGCTTGCACCCGCGGTAGCGCCGGTCCTCTCTCTGCCAGTGACGAGAGCGGAGCTGTCAAAGGCTCTGATGGCCTACGGCGCTAGCCTGCTCGATGTGAGCTCCGCTGGAGATGCGCTCTGGCGTGCTCAGGCGCTTGTCACGCCTCATCACATTGCCCTGTAGGTGCGCTCTGCCGGGGAGCGCGCCGCCCTGACGCTCCCCCTCCCCTCGATTTGGTGCGGGTCGTGGCATCCCTCTTTGGAAGCAACGAACAGCTTCCTTACGGATGACGGCATGAACAGGTGCGAAGTTTCGCTTGATGACGCGGCCGACCTCGAGGCGCGCGCTACCGCGCTGCTTCCGCGGCCAAAGCTGCCCGTGGTCGTCTTTTGCGATTCCGGCCGCCGCGCAGCTTTCGCAAAGGCTGTGCTTGAACGTCAAGGGTTCGAATACGTGATCAACGCGGGCGGTGTCAACGCTGTGATGGAGTGTCTGCTCGCCTCGCTATGACAATCGGTGCGGACCTCCGCGAACCGGTGGATAGCGAGTCGTCATTTGGTGGCGGGATGAATGGATGATGAGAGCGTGCGGCGCGTTCGTGTGCGCTGTCCGCAGCTCCGCACCCCGGCCGCTAAGCTAGATGGCGCGAGAGGTTCGCTTGAGACCTTGAGTGAAAGTGGTACTAGATGCGGTGCAGCCGGAGAGCAGCTCTCTTGTGTACATGCGCGTAGCGAAGCGGGTCCTACATTATGTAACATGTGACACCCCCCTCCCCCGCGCCTGCCACGCCCGCGCCGGAGTCCAGGCGCGGAGCCTCCCAGTCGGTGGCCATATGCGGGGGGCCCGGACCGTGGATACCCGCGCGGGAGGAGCGTGTGTCGCCGGGTCGTGCGGCGCTAAGCTAGCGAATAATAACCGGAAAGGAGGACGACGACTCATATGATAATCATATATGCTACGACGAGACATATGCCACCCCCGTGCCGTCGCCCTCCGACCCTCGCCCTCCGCGACCACGCTCGCGTTAATCCATTAACGTAGTTTTATCGTGTGAGAGAGGCGTGAACGCGCATGTGAACGCACTGGGTGAGTGAGCGGGTTTTTGCTCGCGGCCGTCGTCTGCCTCTCCGCCCTATCTCTCGTCGCAGTCAGGTCGCAGTCTCTCGCCAATTCTGATCTCGCAGCGTAGCTGGCCAGTTAAAGAGAAACGAAAAGGAAGCTCCCCGGCCCTAGCGGCGGAACGCCCCCTCTACTCGAAGCGAATAGACAAGACGCGAAGACGACGCCCACTCCCACCCGACATCGCCGCTTGGATTGTTGGAACCCCCCGCACCGGCCACCGCGCGGCCTCCCTACCCCCATTCCGAAGGGGCTCCTCCCTCCCCTCGATCCTCCCTCCTGTTCGCTTTCCGATGGTCATGCGACGGTTGCGGGGCCCGCCCTTCCCCTCTTATGCTTCCTCGGCCGTGGCCCCGCCACCGTCGAGATCTTCTGCATGCATTTTTCTCTTCTCCTATTCTCTTCTCCCCTTGTAAAATTCTCTTCGCCAGTCCCGTGCCCAGTGTTGTGCGAGGGAGTTTTGTTGTAAAATTCTCTTCTCCTCGCGCCCTCTTATTCTACTCAGAGCGGTGGTTGAGGCCGATTGCCTCAACTGTCAACCACGTGGTTGACAGAGGCCTCAACCCTCAACCAAGTGGTTGACAGACCCCTTCAACCCCTCAACCACGCGGAATGGCTGTTCACACCCCCCGCGCAAAGGTCTGAACACACATTCTCTGTCCCGGCCGACCTGCGGCCGACGTCATGGTCGTCCGCGGACGCGGCCCTCCGTCTCCGGAGACATTACCGAACTCAAAACTGCTTACCAAAGCCAGATACGAGCTCAGCTCAGTGAGATCTAGCAGCACATACCCTCAAGTATCCAGGATAGCAAAGTCTGAAAAAGTCGGTCCGACCGCGCAGAGCGGTCTGGCTGTCTGCAGAGCTTCCGTCCGAGCCCTGAGAAATGTCGGAGGCATGTCGGCCCATGTTCGCGATTTTGATGGCGTTGCCCTTATTGCACGTGAAACAGACCGCGCCGGCCACGCACCCTTGTTCCCGGAGGCCAACTCGAACAGGTTTGAGCAATGGCCGCCTTCCATGCTCGACACGTCCGCCCGCCATCAAGTTGTACGATGAAAAATGCAGCAGGAACTTAGTTGCCTCGAAGGCCGCCCTGCTCGAAGGCCGCCCTGCTCTCGGCATTGTGTTGTTGACTGATAGCACTGTCTGATCCAACCAGAAAGAGCCGTCGAAGAGCCGTCGAGAGCTACATGAGACCCAAGTCGTCATGATGTACCAGAATGCAGAAAACGAAACTAGCGCCAAAATTGAGATCTCAGGATTGACATTAATTTCTCGCGCCTGCTTTCGCTGCTTGAGGCTCGCCAAACAGATACTGCGTCTATGGCCGTGTGCAACGTCAAGTCGTTATATAACCGCGACAAGACCATCGCGCCAACCGCGACTCTGTTGCTTTTATGCGGCAGCATTCACCGTGACTCTTGCCGTGAATGGTTAGTGACCGCAATACTACGCCGTGAGCTGAGCTTCACCAGCCGTTTATCTTCCTTCCCTTGCCTTCTCTTGCCGTCCGTTCTCTGTGCGCATTCCACTGCATGCGGCAGCACAAGCGTCTTCTGCCGGGCGCGCATCTGAACTCGTACCTGGTAGGCCATCGCTTTGCTGAAGGATCAGGCGCCTGAATGGCGACAGTGAGCGTCTCCTACTTATGGATTGCGCTCAAGGTACGAGGACCGCAAGAGCGCGCCGCAGGCGAAGCGATTTTTTTGGCGGCAGGGCTGTTCCAATCTTGTGATCACGCGCGAGCCTGTGAATACGCCCCGGAGGCCTCAACCCCCAACTAAAGGGTTGACGGGGGGTCTCAACCGTCAACCAGATGGTTGAGGGGGGGCCTCAACCCTCAACCCGTCAACCACCCCTGTGAGCAGATCTTATCAACGGCAACGCGGCAAAAATGCCCGTCGCCGCTTCAATTGGCCGCGCGGACGCGGACGACGCTTGCGTGGATCAGGACGACGCTTGCGTGGATCAGGAGAACCGCAGGCACTCGTCTCAGCCGAGGCTCTCTTTACCGAAGTCTCCGCCGCCGCCTGCAACACAGCCTTCGACCCAGCCAAAGTGGCTGTCCGTGTCTCCGCCGCCGCCGCCACCCCCGCCACCGCCACCCCCGCCACCGCCGCCGCCACCGCCGCCGCCACCACCACCTCCGCCGCCTCCACCACGTGGGCTACGTGTCGGGGGTGACCCCGCCATCGGCCTCACAGCAGACGAGGAGAGGGCGCTACAGCTGCTTCGCGACTCGGCTGCCGCAGCCTCAAAGCCGGAGTCTGACGACTCCGAGTGCGGCGAGCCCTTCAGTGAGATCGACGAGACTCCGCCCGCTGCTGGCGCAGCCGCAGCCGCCCACGCCGCCGCGCCGGGGGTGGAGGAGCCACTCTGGCTCACGTCAGCGCAATCCTTCCTAGAGTCCGAGGCTCGCGTCCCCGCCCGTCCCCCGATCCGATGCGCACGAGTCTGACCTCGAGCTCTCCACACCCACCTCGACACGTAGGCGGAGTCGCTCGTGGACGATGACGAGCCATGTTCGTACCCCCTCGCGCGGTGCGCTGCCGCTGCAGTGGGCAGCCAGCCCGGCAGAGCGGTGTCCTTTGCGCTGGCCGTCGCGGTTCTTGGATCCTTCCTCGGCGCGATAGCTGCGGATAGATTCTTCGGAGCGGACGGAGCAGCCGGCTCCTGCGGCGATGAGGTCGCGTATCTGCGTGAGGAACTCGAGAGGAGAGAGACGGAACTGTTGGCGCTGCGGCAACTGCTCGAGGCGCGCCCACCCCAACCACCGAAGTGGAAGCGACTCACCTGCAAACAAGCACAACGCTCACAAGCACTGACCTGCCCACGCCAGGCGCACGAGACCGAGCCGTCGCTCTGGCACTCTCTGGTCGCTCTACCCCTCTCTGGTCTCGCGGCGGTGCTCGGCCGCTACTCGAGGTGAGAAAAGAGGCCACGTGGGACGCGGGCACGCGGCGAGGTCTAGGGATCAGGGGTGTTGCGCTGGCGCGCGCAGGGTTCATGATTAGCCTTGGCAGAAACCCTCGCCGCACATCCTGTCAAAGTTGGCGCCACAGCTCGGATGCTACTGTACTCGGCATTTTTGGGTGGCGCAATACGGCTGCTTTGTTGGCGAACACGACGTCGAGGCGCTCCTCAGCTTGGCCAATCTCACCAGCACTCGCAGCGAGGATCCAGGAGTCGCGCAGCTGCCCCAGGCGCCAGGGGCACTCGCTGCGAGGTTGTGTGTGTAGTACTTTATGTCCCGTATAACACTGGCGTGTGTGTGTTGCGTTACACTTATAAACAGAGTGTTACCCGAACGGCAAACCAGTTCCTATATAGAGAGCCAGTTTCAGGCGGTTTTAGCCTGGTTGAGTAGCTACTCCGTGCGCTGTGGTTACGGCGTCGATGCTCGTGGACGTGGTCGTGCGGGCCGGTCCGTGCGTGCGCGCGCGGCGCCACCGCTGAGACCTGTTGCACGCCACCGCGAACCACCCACGGACAGCTCTAAATCGCTGCGCGCGGCCGGCGGCTTGAGCGCGCGCCCTAAGGCCTTCATGTCGCACCCGAGCGTCTCAGCGCCATCCCTGGGCCCTGCGGCAGCGGACCGGAGCGGTTGAAGGCGACTTGACGCGCCGCGCCTCACGCGCTGCGGCCGCGACGCCGCAGTGCCGCAGCGCCGTCGCTGCGCCAGGCTTCCGCGGCTCTGGGGGCGCGGCGACTCAAATAGCCGCGGTTAGGTGGTGTTGTCCACCAGTATGAACACACCCATGCGCGGCGTGGTCGGTTCTTCGCCACACATCGCTGGAAAGGTCAGCTGACAAGGGGCAAAACGGGCAAAAGGGAGTTTTCTGCCATCCCTCACGCTCACCAGCGCCGGCCGTACGCTTGCAGGCCACTTCTGAGCGGCTGAGGCAAGTCCTCGTGGTGGACAAGGATGGATCCGCGCCGCTTTGCCGGCTCGCGCCGCGCTGCTCGCCTCTCCGAGAGGTGCCTCTCGCCCGCCTGCCCGCCACTGCAGCGAGAGGGAGTTTCTGCCATCCCTCACGCTCACCAGCGCCGGCCGCACGCTTGCAGGCCACTTCTGAGCGGCTGAGGCAAGTCCTCGTGGTGGACAAGGACGGATCCGCGCCGCTTTGCCGGCTCGCGCCGCGCTGCTCGCCTCTCCGAGAGGCGATAGTCGACCTCCGCGCCCGCAGTGCGTGCAGCGGCTGGGCGCCAGGCGCGGTGCGGAGGGCCGCGGGGGGCCAAACTGGCTCCTGCTGCTCATATTTTTGACGTGTGTGTAGTCTATACAGTCTGTACACCAGCGCCAGTGCCGTCAGTGCCCACGCGAGAGGCGCTAATGCCTGTTTTTGCGCCTTGTCCGGACTGGCTGGGCGGTGGTTCACGGTTGGCGTGCACCAACAGGTCCTGAGCGCGCTGTATGTGTCGAGTGTCGTGCCCCCGCGAGCGTGACAAGTCGCCCTGTCTTCGCGTCGTCTCAGGTCTTGTGTACACACACAGCTCTTTGTGGTCCCTTTATACCTAAGTCACCGCCTCCGGCTCTAGCCCTCCCGCCCTCGCCGACCCTCGCTGGTTGCGCGGCACGTGCGCGGTCTCACCACGCCATCCGCCTCTCTTCTGCCACCAACCTGCAACCAGGCTGACGAGCCGCGCGCACCGCCTCGGGGAGATGTGGGGGTGGAGCCGCTCGCTCTCCCGGTGAGCGAGGGCCCAAGGGCGGTGTGTGTGGCACGCGGGCGCTAGTCGTCGGAGCGGCCCATCAGCAACAAGAGCACGCGCTGGAAGATGACCTGGCGGGTGGCCACGGGGAGGGCTCGCGGATTCCTCGTCCGCATCTCGCCCTCATCTCGGCCGTCTCTCAGCTGCCTCTCCCGTCCGCGTCTCAGCTGCTGCCTCTCGGCTGCCTCTCTCGGCAGTCTCTCGGCCGTCTCCGCGCCTTGAAATTGATGAAGAGGTCGACGGCGTGCTTCAGGTGGTCGTCCTCCCCCATCTCGTACCTGCGCGGCGTAGGCCAGCCCCTGTGGAGAGGTGATGGGGTGGCGGGTGCCTCCCCCCCCCCTCCCCGCGCACTCGTTGATCATGTTTTGGGTGTCGTAGGCGATGTAGAGCGTGAAGATCCCTGAGGACGGCGAGAGGCGTGAGCAGAGAGAGCCCGCACGCGCGGCCGGCAGCAGAGGGCGCGGAGTGTGCCCAGCCCGCCGTAGAGGTTGATCGAGTGGAGGAGCGGGTACCACGCCGACGTGACCGGCACGAACATCCCCGCGACGCCTACGCGGCGGGGGGCGGGGCGGCGGTGCAGCCGAGACGTGGCCGGCAAGTGCGGCGAGCTATCGGGCGAGTGGTGTGCGCCGCATCCGAGCAGCATGAGCATCCCGGCGCCGAGAGGGACGCCTGCAGGCGAGGAGGGGGGGCGGGAGAGGCGCATGGGTTGCAGACCGCCTCTCGGCGGCATGTGCCGGCTCCATCGAAGCTGCCATCTCGGGCCGCGATCTCGGGCCGATCTCAGGCTGCGGTCTCTCGCCGAGCCGCAGCATGGAGCCCGGCTTGGCGAAGAGCGAGAGCGCCGTCATCGTGCCGAAGAGGCCGGTCGTGATGGCGAGGGCCTGGGGAGGGGCGGAGGGGCTGGGGAGGGGCTTGGGCGAGGGGCAGTAGCAGCCAGCTCCTGGGTTTGGAGGAGGGGCGTGGGGAGGGGCGCGGGGAGGGCGAGGGCGAGCTCATGCGCAGAGGCGACGCCGCGAGCTCGAGGGCGAGGGGCGGCGAGGGGCGGCGAGGGGCGGCGAGGGGCGGCGAGGGGCGGCGAGGGGCGGCGCCTGCGGCACGATGGCCGGAGACACCTTGAGCGCCACGAGGAGGAGCGGCGCCATCGCCCAGCCAGAGAGGCCGGTGAAGGCTGCAAACAGGCCTGTGCAGAGAGCGCCGGGGTGGAGAGAGGCGCTTGCCAGGCGGAGAGGCAGGCAAGCGGGCGGCGAGGCCGGCGCGCAGCGTCTGCGAGTGCGTGTGCTTCGAGGTGTACATCAGGCCGAGCAGGGGCACCATCGCGCCCAGCCCAGGGATGAGAGGGTGCACGAGCCCGAGGGGCGTGGCCATGGCGGTGACCGACGCGGCGGCCGAGATGCCGATGCCGGTCGCGAGCGTGGCGTACACGCGCCGCATGTGCGCCACCACGCCGTCGGAGAGGCTCTCGTACTGCGAACCCGCCTGCTGCTGCCTCTGTTCGTACGACGGGAACGTGGCGGGCGCCCCGGCTGCCGTCGGCGGCGCCTCCTTGACCTGAGACTGGGAGACCCAGTCGCCGCCGCGCGCCGCTTCGGGCTCCTGCTCCAGCACCTGCGGCGCAAGGAGGGAGTGGGCGCCACCACCGCCGCTCGCCACGGCCGGCTGAGCTTTCCTGCGTTCTTTTCTTGTTGCCGAACCGAGACGGGCGGGACGAGTAACACCGCAGGCTGTGGCCCATCGAAGACGGGCGGCTCGCTGGACCGGTTGGGCATCGCAGCGAGAGCCGGGCGGCTCTGACGCCGAACATGAAGGACATCGACAATGTGCGAGTGTGTGCCGCAGGCCAGGGCCCAGGACTCGGCGAAGAGGGCGCGAAAGAATTTGCATGGGCGGGGCGTGAGGTTACCGACGTCCTCCCATCCCTCCCTTGGGATGCTTTCTTTCTTTCTTTCAGGTTACCGACTGCACTCCAATTGCTTTGAAGACACCCCCTGACTGTGTCGCCTTCGTCCCCCCCCCCCCCCTAAATTTGTACTGGAAACCCACGGCTCTACGACTAACTGACCTCTGACTGCCACGCTCGCCCTTGTTCCTCACTCCGGCTCCGCGCTCTTCATCTCCTCGACACGGTCGTCCGGGTCGGCAAAGGCGTCGTTCTCGCCCGAGGGCGCATCGAGCAGCACCGTCTCGCGCGAGATGCCGGCGAGGCCCTTGTAGGCATCGATGAGGAGGAAGCACGCCTGGAGCAGCACCAGCGAGCCGAGTGGCTGCAAAACGAGCAAGACCTACAGTATTCGTACCGCAAGGTGTTGAGCATCCACCGCGCGGCCGCGAGCGGCGGCGGGGCGTCCGCAGCACCAGCGCCGCGTCGCTCAGCCCGCTCTGCAATGAGGAGATTGCAGTCAGCGCGGCGACGATGCACTGCTTGCCAAGCAGCCAGAAAAACCACCTGCTCCCGGGCTTGCGAGCGAAGTGAGCAGTGTAGCGCTCCTGTATGGCCGACCCTCGTGCTCGAGCTACACCCTACTCTCTCACGAGGCTCACCCCACGAAAAAGGCCATGGCGTTGGTGATAAAGTACCTTTCGACGGCGGCACGGTCCGCGTCCTTCTCGACGGCATACCTGCTCATCGGTCCACCCATGAGCGAGAACGAATCAACGGCCGGCAGTAGTCTCCGAGTCTCCTCGCGGACCTCTCACCCGAGGCGATGAGCCACACGATGCACAGGATGGTGAAGAGGACGGTGAGCCCTCCGACGGCCGCCATGTTCGCGGGCAGCGGATCCGAGTAGAAGACTGGGAGCGCGGCGCACACCCAGTCGATCACCGCGCAGCCCGAGACCCAAGACAGCATCGTCTGCGTCAGGTTGCTCGCCTCGACCAGCACGGCGCTGAGCCCTCTCGCCTGCCCTTCTGATGGGGTAAGCGCCTACCACTCATGGAACATCTCGCCGTCTATACACCACCCGACGACAGCCCTTCGCTCCTCACTCCGGCGGCGGCGCCAGCTCGATGTGCGCCAGCTTGGTCGTAATTAGCGACCCTGCGAAGAGCGTGAAGCCGGCGTACAACGCCGCGATCGTGAGGGAGGCCTGGCCCGACGCGTCGATGTAGACGTACTCGGCACCCACCTTGGCACCGAACCGCCAAGGCTGTTGAATGCTGAGGGGTGTGTACGATCAAGTAGGATACAGCTCATCACCTTGGTCCACAGCGTCATCACGATGATCGTCAGCCCTCGCACCAGCATCGCGAGCATGTCCTATTGACGGCAGCCAAATTCCAGCCATGTCCCTTCCCGCCCGTCACCGGCATGGCGTACTGTCCTCACAATAGTCCTCGCACCAGTCCACCACCTGCTCAGTGCTCAGCCCCGTGAATAGACGCGGCTCAGCCCTCCTCACAGCCGCTCGCGACGGTCGGCCACCGCGCCGCTGCCACACTCGATCTCGCGCACGTATGGTTTGACGACTGAGATGAGCGCCTACGGTTGGGAAGATCCACCCGTTTGAAAAAAGCCACCTCTCGCATTCCGGCTTGACGGCAGCTTTCCGAGGACCGCGGCCACGCCGGTCCAGCCACACGCGTATCCCACATTGAGGCCGAGGCAGCGGCGGGGCGCGGCGCGGCAGTGCTCGGATAGCTGGAGCTCGTCGAGGAGGGCGACCTGAGAAGAATCACACCGGCGTGATCGTGATTGACGCAAGCGGCGAACGAAGGTGGGACGCACCGCCGCGTTGGCAAAGCCCCATCCGCAGATGTAGTTTGCAATGCTCGGGATCAACGCTGCTGAACGCGCCGGCGCCTGACCGCGCGCCTCTGCCCGCTCGGTGTGGCTCTCCGCGAGGTGCTTGAGCAGTCCGGTCAGCGGCACCATCAGCAGCGAGTACACGGCCCACCTCGGCGAGGGAGCCGAGCCAGCGCAGGGTTTGCCGGTGTAGTCGCCGCAGTACCAGGTCGAGCCGAGCCCGAAGCCTGAGGGTCGTTTGGGGATGTGTCATGGGCATGTCCTCTGGACGGCACCAAGTCGAGGCGAGCCCGAGGCCGTAGATCGCGATCGCGTCCGACCTACGCGCCCCCAAACGTAACTGCAAGAGCACGCGCAGTGGATGCGCTCGAAGGGCTGTGTGCACGCAGAGCCTCTCGTCCAATCTATCTTTTCTCACCAGCCGCGGGACATGAGGAAAATGAGCGAGCCGACGACAAAGTCGCCGACCGCCGGACCGGACGCAGAGAGGCGCGCCCGCCAACCGAGCTGTAGCCGGCCATAGAGGGAGGACCGAGAGGAGGGGAGCAGTGCGGTGCCCTCGTCGGCGGAGAGGACGCCAAGGCAGTCCACGCGAGGCAGCCCGCCCCGGAGGCCATGCGAGCGGGCGGCCTTCTTGTTGTCGCTCATCGAGCTGGCTCTCGGCCGCCGAGGGCGGGGCTAGGGGCGGGGACGCGTACCGTGTCTGGCGGTAACGCGGCGTCGGCCCGGCCAGTACTGGGGCCCCGCCAAAACGCGTCGACGCCCGAGGAGGACGCACGTGGGGTGAAGTTCGGGCGTGAGAATTCTTTTCTCAGTGTACTTGTACTTGACTCAGTGTACGTGCTTTTAGCTTACTGGGAGACAAGGGAGAGGGGGTTGTGTTCTCCAGGCCCCTAAGGGCCCTACGCGCGGCGTGAGAGCTTGGAAGCGAGCTTTGCACGGCGATCGAGGAAGGAAGGATGGCGCGGTTCACCCCCTTCACCGAAGCGATGGAGATGCGTTCCGCGTGGTGTGACACAATGAGAGTATGTGGCTCTTACGTACATGCCCGGAGGAGGACTCTGTTGACAGGCTTTTCTCAGTATATGTAGCTCTTACGAACATACCCGAGGGTGAACTTACGGTGAACTGCTGACAGGGTTTGCGATGAGAAGCGATCCGAACGTGGCATTTCTTGGGTCGCTCGCGAAGAAACGCGAAAGAAGAAAAGAAAGAAAGAAAGAAAACAGACAACGCATGTGAAGATAGAGGCGCGGACTGGGTTCCGGCTCCTACCCAGATAGGGGGTCTGTTCACCACGGTGACACGTAGGTCCGGTTTTGACCGCCCCAGAGGGCCCTACAACAGGTAGGTACCTCCAATTTTCGTCTTTTTTCGCTTCGCTGCGCGGCATGGGGCGTTTGTTTCAGACCCCCCATCTGGGTAGGAGCCGGAACCCTGGCCTGGCAAACGGCATGGGAGTCACCTGGGTGCTCGCTTAGAGTTGGCGATGCTTCCGCGGCTACTCCTCCGCCTTGACGCCGCACTCATCCTCGCCGCTGCGGCTGCCGCTGCACTCGGTGTGCTCGAGCCGCTGCACGCGCTGTACAAGGACGCCCATCTCTCCCCGCTCGCATCCTCCACGCCCTGTCGACCCGCTCGCTTCGTCTGCGTCTGGCTCGGAGGCGTCCTCGCGTGGTGTTCGCTCTTCCTCCTCTCGCTGTCGCTGTCGCGTCATGTCACACCGCTCGCGCAGCTTGTCGCCGGCGGCACCGCCTCCGCCGCCACTGGGGCGCCTCTACTCTTTCTCGCCTTTGAGTCGTACGGTGGCGGCGCTTGGTGGTGGGCGCTCGGCGGCTTCGCGGTCCTGATGATGCTACACTTCGGATTGGCCGCCCGCCACCTCTTCCTCCTCAGCGGCCTCCCCGAGCGAGGAGACGGGGCTCGCCTCCTCGTGGCTCCTCTCCTCCTCCCGGCAGGCGAGTGCAGCACGGTGGCACGCACGGCAGGGCCGGCGGCGCACGGAGCGCGGCTCGTCGTCGCAGCGGCTGGCCCGGAGGGCCACGGAGGGCAGAGCGCCGCCGCCGCCGCCGCGTCGACGGCGATTGAGGCGATTGAGTGCGCCGACCGCGAGGCGGCAGAGGCGCGCGCGCGCCGCGGCTTCGGGACCCTCACTCTGCTGCGCATCGCTTGGCCGCATCGCTGGTGGCTGTACGCGGGGTGCGGTGCTCTTCTGCTCCGCCTGCCGCTCTCTCTGTCGGTGCCTCACTGGGTGGCGGAGACGATCGGCGCGCTGAGCGAGGGCGACCACGCGAGCGCCACGCGCTGCATCGCCCTGCTGTGCGCGATGGGGACCGGCGACGCGCTCGGCGACTTCTGGTGCATCTACCTGTTCGGAGTGGCGCAGCAGCGAATCATCCGAGGGCTGCGGCTGCGTCTGTTTGGCGCCATCGTGCGCCAGGACATCGGCTTCTTCGACACGACGCCGAGCGGCGAGATCGCCTCGCGGCTGACGGCGGACTGCGCCGAGATGGCCAACGACCTCACCTGGGTGTTCCGCTTCACGATCGAGGCCGTCGTGCGGCTCGGCAGCATCCTGCTCTACATGTTTGTGAGGTCGTGGAGGCTCGGTCTGCTCGCCATCGCAATCGTCCCTGCGACCGCGCTGATCAACCGCAGCTACGCGCGATTCATGCATCGCAACCAGCAGCAGGTGCAAGCCGCGCTCGCCGACGCAAACGCGATCGCCATCGAGGTGATCGGCGCGATTCGGACGGTGTGCTCGTTCGCGGGCGAGCGGCGCGAGCAGGCGCGCTACCAGGCCAAGGTGGAGAAGTTCTATTCCCTCATCGTGAGACAGACGGCGGTGCAGGGCGTCTACTACATGGTGTGCAACACCTTCCTGATCAACACCTGCGTCCAGGCCGCCCTGCTCGCCTACGGCTGCTTCCTGGTCGAGCGCGGCTTGCTGAGCCACACCGTGCTCCTCGCCTTTATGCTCTACCAGGGCCAGCTGCAGGAGTACGCGCAGAACTTGCTCAACTCCTTCACGTCGCTGCTCAAGAGCTCGGGCGCCGCCGCGAAGGTCTTCGACTACATCGAGCGCCGGCCACGCTACCGACGCCCCGACAAGGGCGGCGGCGGCCGCGGCGGCGGTGAGCCCGCTGCTCCTTGGAAGCTCGGCCACGGGGCTGGCGGTGGCGGAGAGAGCACGGAGAACGGCGACGCGTGCGGCCTCGTCGAGCTGCGCGACGTCTTCTTCTGCTACCCGTCCCGCCCCGAGGCGGCCGTGCTTCGCGGCCTCTCGCTCACCGTCCTCCCGGGCCAGACGGTGGCGCTGGTGGGGCAGAGCGGCTCGGGAAAGTCGACGGTCCTCCACCTGCTCAAGCACTTTTACGAGGCAACCAGCGGCTGCGTGCGCATCGACGGGCGAGACGTCTGCGACATGCCGCACGCCGAGCTGCACGCCGTCGCCGCCTCCGTCAGCCAGGAGCCCGTCCTCCTCTCGGGCACCATCGAGGACAACATCCGCTACGCCCTCTCCGCGCGCGCCGCGTGGGAGGAGGCCGAAGGCGGCGGTGGCGGCGGCAGTGGCGGCGGCGGCAGCAGCAACGATGACGAGGCGGCGCTCCGCGAGCGCTTGGTGGCGGCGGCGACGGCCGCGAACGCGCATGGCTTCATTAGCGGGCTACGCGACGGCTATCAGACGGCGGTGGGGGAGCGGGGGGTGCAGCTGAGTGGCGGGCAGCGCCAACGCATCGCCATCGCGCGCTCGCTGCTGCTGGACCCGGCGGTGCTGCTGCTCGACGAGGCGACGTCGGCGCTTGACGCCGAGAGCGAGGCGGCGGTGCAGGAGGCGCTCGAGCGAGCGATGCAGGGGCGCACCACTCTCGTGATTGCGCATCGGCTGTCCACGGTACGCCACGCGGACTGCATCGTGCTCATGCACGGCGGCGCGGCGGTCGAGGCAGGGACACACGACGAGCTGATCGCCAGACCGCTCCCTGCCGGCGGAGCGCCGAGCTACCGTCAGCTCGTCAAGCTTCAAACAGCCGCGGGTGGTGGTGACACATGACACGGTCGTGTGTGAGCGCCGGCATAAATAAATAAAACGGTCAAACTCTGAGACGAGATGTGTAAAAAGAGATGGGATCTTATAAGGGACATGTGCCCCGCCCTGCACGATCTTGGTGGTGTATGAGGGATCTTCAAAATCAAATGAGAGCCGGCGTGCGACTGGTTGGGTAGTAGTCTAAAAGAGTTCTGAGCCTCAAGGCTCTTAGCGGGTCTAAGTGTGTGCCATGGCACGCTGGGGGGGTGCTTACGCGGTCTAAGATCGGCGGCAGCCTCTCTTATGCGGGCTAAGTCTGCCGTGGCACGGCCTGGGGCCAAGAGGCTCCCACCGTGATCAACGATACGGCACTAGCCCCCAAATTTTCTTCGCTGCGGCGGGCGATCGATCCTTCTCATGCTCAGCAATCGCCGCCTCAGCATCCTCCTCTTCCGATTCTCGTTGCTCTTCTTGAGCGCAATCTTCAAGCCAAACAGTTCTCACAAATAGCCTCAAGCTCAAACAAACGCGTGTCAGAGAAGCCTGTGCATGCTGGTCCTCTTTGAACGATCCGCGCGTGAGGTAGCATAGGGCCTTGTTGGCAGCAGCCAGCTTGTTGCGCTGCTTCGCTGCGATGAGCTGATTGGGATCGCAGAAGTGCATGCCAAGCACCCCATGAGCTTGAAGCAGAACACATCGCAACGCATCGTCCGCACTGCCATCGGCATGCCGCGCCCGCCGCTTCGCCGCACAGCCGCCTTTAAGACACGCATAGCGGCAGCACATGGTACGGTGCGCGTACTTGAGCAGGAGTTGCGCGCCGCAAGTAACGCACTGGCCCTGGGACAAGGCGATATGGCGTCGTGCGCGGCATGCGTTGTCCAGGTATTTTTCGGGTAAACCTGGACTTTTGCAGGTATGTATGTAACTGTAGAGACGATTTAGGTTTGGGGCAGCGCGAGTGGGAGAACTTTTCGGCGATCGTGGAGGTCGTGGAGGTCGTTGAGTGGCGAGTCACGCTCGTGCGGACAGCATCGATGCCGTCGCCGGACGCGGCGGCGAGGCACACGGGCGCCGGCGTGGCGCGTCGGCAGGCCCACCACGAGCGGATGCGCGACGAGCGCGCTCGGGAAGCGGCCGCGGGCGAGGCGGAGCTTCCGCCGGAGGACGACGCGGTCGAGATGGCGAGCGCCGTCCACGTGCTGGACAGCGTGGGGGAGGTGGGCCCGAACTACACCCTGCTGCGCAGCAAGGAGACGAAGGCGAAGCGGCGGAAGCAAAAGCGCGAGGATGCCAGGGCGGCGCTCGACGGCCACACTGTCCTGTCCACCGGATTGCGCCTCGAGATCTTCTGCGACAGCGAGCGGTGGTACCCTGCGACCGTACCGGGTTTTACCCGGAGTTGGCCTTGTGTCGTCTAAGTTACTTTGGTGTAAGTTCATGGCCCCCGACCATACAGCGTCTAAGTCCGAGCCCGGCTCCGTGCGGGGGCTAAGTTGAGCGCTCGCTCGCTGCAGAGGCTAAGTGTAGAGCGACCCTCTAGCCCTACTACCCAACCGTTGGCGTGCGGCGACACACACACCCAGAGCCGTTCTCCGTACCCCGCGCGAAAAAGTTCCCTCGACGAGTCTTGAGGTGCGCGCCAACGCCGAACGGTACGCGCACCACGAACTCATGCAAAACACGCAGCGCGGCAATACACGAACCCCCCCCCACGAGTGAAAAAAAGTACTCCGGCCCACACGGAAGCTGTGGGTCGAGATGAGTCACAGTCAGTGTGAAGTGAGGAGCTGAGCTGAACTGGGAGCTGCGCGGTCTGTCCGTAAAATTGGTAGCCCTATGTCTAAGCTGCTGCTGCTGCGGGACCGGTGCCGTCCTTCTCCGCCCACCCCCAGCTCGCTTCGAGGATCTCGAGCGGGCCCAGCGCCTCCCCCTCGAGCTCCCCAGCCTGCAGCTCCCCGGGCCGTGTGGAGACGGGGGTGATGTGAGAGCAGACCATGCGGTCAAAGCTCCAGCTCCTCCACTTGGCGAGGTCGAGCACGACTCCCTCCTTGGGAAGCCCCAGGCTATACGTCGGCAAGAAGCCGCACGACGCCTTGCACGGATCCATCAGAGACTGCTGGTACAGTGTTGCCATCCACGGAGGGGTGAGCGCCGGTTGCTTCGCACTTCCGGGTCCGACGCATTTGTCGCTGCTCTTGTAGACGGCGTCGCCGCCGATGAAAGTCCGTGTGGGCTTGTGAAGAAATGATGTCCAGTATGTGCCGCAGTGCCAGTCGAAGTCTTCTAAAATCGCCGCCGCCGCCTCCGGAAGGCCCTCTCTCGAGTTGCCCAGCACAGCGTCCACTCGCAACGATGGGTGCCTCTCGTCGCTCTTCGTGGCGGCAAATGCTGGATCTACCACATAGATCGCGTTGGGATACTGCTGTTGGAATGCAACTACGCCGTCCATGTGCGCCGCCGCTACGTAAACCAGCTTCACCTCGCCAAGCTCTGCCAGGTCCTTTTGCAAGGCCGCTCCATGCTCATCGTCGGTCAGCCAGCAGTCAAAAAGGAAGAGGCCGCCGGTGGCGAGCTTGACAGCGATCGCGGAAGAGCGCCAGCCCATTCCGAGCGGCTCGTGCTCCTCCTTGGCCATGAACTCTTTGGCTTTTGCCTCAGCCTCTGCGTCGACGCCCGGCGTGCAGACCATCCCGATGAATGAAGTGCAGGTCGCCTTTGTGACCGGCACTTGCCACCAGAACTGATGGATCACGCCGTCGGCGAAGCAAACATCGTGCCGGTACATGCTGTTACAGTAGGACTGGGCAGCGGCGGCTGCGCGACCCCGACGGGCGAAGGGACGCACGTTCGCAAGATATTCGAATGCGGCTGTGACTACTTGAGCACTTGAGCACTTGATAGGGTCGATTCCGCATGGTACGGGACCCCTCGATCGTCTCGCCCTCCCTCACTGGTGTGTTCATTGGGGGGGGTCATAACAAACACGGTGCAGGATCGAGGTGCACGCTGCCAAAGCAGTGTCGTCCCCCCTCTCCCCGACGGCGATGGCGGTGTGACCGATCGAGCTACAAGAGGAGCTTGTTCAGCAGGATCCGGGCCGTCGGATGCACTACCTCACTGGGCCTGAGACCACCGCACGGCCAGCCCTTCACCACTCCGGGTTTGCGTGGAGTCGAACCACTCCGGAGCAGGCGGACATCGCTTCCAGGGGGGGGGGCGCACTTCTACTCACACCACATGCTAGGGGGGGGGTACGACCCCCCCAGAGGCTTCACCACATGCTAGGGGGGGGGTCCCGACCCCCCCAGCACCTTCACCACATGCTAGGGGGTCGTGCCCCCCCCCAGCCCCACCCAGAGACTCGTGGTCAGGCCCTCCGGGCCCTTGATTTTACGCCTCATTTCGCAGCATTTTCGGAAAAATCATCCTTTGGAGCTACATGAGCCTTGAGACTTGGTCAGATTCTCCAAGATATTGGACTTTCAGCCACGATTTCACAACTTTCGGGGCAAAATCGGCTCTCTGGCGGCTATTTTCCTAGCCCACGAACTGCTGGGGGGTGCCCACCACATGCTAGGGGGGGGGTCCGACCCCCCCAGAGGCTTCACCACATGCTAGGGGGGGGGTCCCGACCCCCCCAGAGGCTTCACCACATGCTAGGGGGGGGGTGGGGCGTGAGTAGAAGTGCGCCCCCCTCCCTGGAAGCGATGTCCGCCTGCTCCGCGGTATGGGCGAGCCCATTGAAGCTGTGACAACTGTTAAAGGATAGTAGTGTGGCAGTGTGGTCGGAGGGCGCCCGGGTCGCCCCGGAGCGGCCCCGCGCGGGGGGAGGTGGGTGGAGGGCGGGCACCACGCCACCGGGCAGGCCGCGCGGGGACGCAGCCGGGGCCAACCTGGACCTGGGTCGGCGAGTTTTGGTGGTTCGAAAAGCGGAGCGCGCAGTCCGTTGTGGCTCGAAACGCGATGCATCCGCCGGGAGACACGGATGGCGCCGTCAGGAGCGACGATGCTGGCGAGGCGCCGCATTCGGTCGTCGTCCTGCCGGCGACTAGCGAGGCGGTCGAGCGTGACCAGTCGCACTCGAATCTGAGCAGTACATTGAGGCCGTTGGTGGAGAGAGAGCGTAGCGAGCGAGGTGACGAGGATGGAGCTGTGGGTGTAGTCGGTGGAGGCTTGGCTGCGTCGTCCACGACGAGGCGTCGGAGAATGACGAGACGTCGGAGAGTCGTGACGGTGATTCTCGGGCCGAGGCCGATGTCTCATAGGCAGGAGGTGACTTGTCAGCGCCTTCGCAACGCGGTTCAATTGTGGACGACGATGTACACGGAGATGGGATGGTGCGACGACAATGCGGGACAACCTATAGGATCGTGCATGCTTCTGCATGCTACATGTTCGCACCGTGAGGTCGAACCGAGGTTTATACGGGTGTGGCTCCAGAGTCCGGTGCTCCAGGATGCAGCGGCTGCGAACCGGCGCAGTTGTGTCCGCAATGTGCTCACTAACGTGGCTCAGCAGGAGCATGAGACCGTACCAAAGTCTGTGCAGGTGTGAACAGCAGCTCCTGAGCACGGCGCCGCAGGCGCGCCTGTTGATAGGTCCAGGTGATAGCCCTGGATGGGCAATGCATACGCCTACGTGGGCCTAGATCGCCCGACCGCGTCCCGGTGCTCTGCGTTTGGATTTGTGACGCCGCCGCACCGCGCCGCGGCCGGGGGCCCTCCGGAGGCCGAGGATGGCCGTGGCGGACCAGAACGAGCTCTGGGAGGTGAAGTGTTAGTGAGTATATTGTAGAGATAGACCATGTGCGCAATATCTCTCACTCTAGCTAAGCCAGGGGAGGCGATGCCGAGACTGTGTAGTAGAAAAGTATAGGATTATTTATAAAAATCGGGGAGTTGCGAGCTAGTACACTCGGCCGCTTGGTTTTGCTATGCCGGCAAGAAGGGATGGTAGTTGTGGCACCATTTCACAGCAGCTTGATGGTGTTTCGCCGGCAGCGTTCTTGCTTCCCGGAGCGGTGCCGGACGGGCGGTCCGTGGGAGGAAACTCAGACAGATCAACGCCGACGACGCTCTGATTCGACTGTTTACTTCAAACAAAGACAGTCGCACGCGCCGCAGTGCGGTGCGTGCGACTGTCAGGAGCGGATCCGTCAGTTAGTCGTGTTCACGCCGGGATCGTGATCTGACTAACCTGCCCACACACTTTAGGCCGACCGTACCGGGTCACAATCCCTTGCTGCCATGTCCTTGCCCCTTCCGCCGACGCTCGCTGCTCGCGCACTGCTTACCGCTTGCGGCGCCATCTTCTGCACATCTGGCCTCGTCGGCTTCAACGTTCTCGTGCCCGGACTGGGCGAAAGGTTTGGCGGCGAAACTGCCAGTGGGGCAGAGCGTATGGCTTACGGTGCGTCTCTCTCGATGCTCGCATCCCTTGTGCTTTGCCCTGTCAACTTCCTCACCGCGCGAGCGATTGGCGCCGGCACTCTCTCCGCACCTCGTGCCTGCCTCTACGCCTCAATGGCTGGAGTAGTTGGCCTGGGCGGGGCCGGACTCGGCGTCCTTCTCGAGCAGTACTGGCTCTCGCTCCTGTCCTTTGGTCTTGGGCAAGGCGTCTCGCTCGGCGCGTCCTACATCGCACTGCTCGCCGTGACGCGCGCGTGGTTTGCGAAACTCGGCAGGCCGGGGCTCGGCTTTGGTCTCCTCGGGGCTGCGATGGGCGTCGCCGCCGCCGTGTTTGCTGCAGCCGCAGAGCTGCTGCTTCGCTCCTTTGGGATCGGAGAGACCTTGGTCATCCTGAGCGTTGGTATCGGACTGGTCACCGTGCCAAGCGCGGTTCTGATGCCGCCGCCGCCACGCCAGGCACGGACGGTGGGGCCAGCCCGGCCTGCAGGTGGGGAAGCGCCTCGCACGCTGCTGCGCTCCGGACGCTTCTGGCTCTTTGCGCTTGGCCTCCTGCTTGCGCTGCTGCCAGGCTGGGGCTTCAAGCTGCTCGTCTCGTCCCTGCTGAGCGCGCGGTTCGACACCGACCTGGAGACGGGAACCAAGGTGACTACTCTAAGCCTGCTGCTCTACGCGGGGTCTCGGCTTGCGGCCGGCTGGTTGACCGACTGTGTGCCCGCGACAGCCATGTACTCGGCCACACTCGGAATTCAGCAGGTGTTGGTCGGCCTGCTTGCCAGCATGGCCTCCGTGGGCGTGCCGGAGGCCTCGCTTGAGGCCTTTAGCGGCCTCCAGGTGTGCATCACGATGTGCTTTGGATTTCTCAAGACGCTCTACCCGCTGGTGGTCGGCTGGATCTGGCCTAATGACATGATCGCGATCGGCCTGGTGGCGCCCTGCTTTGGCCTCGCAGGCGCCATTGGCCCCGCCGTCTACCTAGTCTCCCTCGCCAGCCGCGGCGGGGAGGAGGCGGCCCTCCTCGTCCTGACCGCGCTCCAGCTGCTCGCCGTCGTCTTTGTGTCCGCGGCCATGGCCAGCCGCCTTTGGATTCGAAGCGGCAGTGGGAGCCACTCTCCGCCTCGCGCAACCGCCCCCGAGGCGCCAAAAGAGCCAGAAAAGGAGGGGGTAGCGGGTGAGTGCACTGCCGTCGCGATCAAAGTTTGGTCAGTGTGACAGAGAGGGAACGGGGGACACAACTCGACATGGAGAGGGGCTGAGCAGGGTCACCCGTCCCCCACGCGATGTTGTGAAAGAATTTAACTGAAAACAACTCTCACAAGGAAAGGCGAAACCCAAGCCCCTACTTGTCGACCTACTTGCCAAGCGAAACCTGGAAAAATTTCTTTTCCTCGCACACAGCCAGTGCGCGGTGCTCACGCGAAAGGGATCGACGCGATGTGCAAAGCATACAACTTACAAGAAAGGGAGAAAGAAGAGGAGAGAGGCCAGGGGTGACGAAGCAGAGACTAGCGCAGACGAGAGCAGGGCAGACCCGGGGACGGGGGAGTCGGAGCAGACGGCATCGGCCGCCGAGGGAACGTTGGGGAGAGGCACGAGGAGGGCGGCGACCTCAACCGACTATGGAGGACCCGTCGCCAGACGACGCAGGGCAGACGACGGGGGAGAGTTGGGGCAGACGCGCAGGGCGAGACGAGGGAAGGAGCAGGACTTTGCGGAGATCAGCAGGAGGATGTACGAAGAGATTAGGAGCAGCAGGGACCCGAGGGGACCATGTGGAAGACGGCTAGGGCTAGTCCCCCATCGTGAGGACGACCCCGGCTAGTCGCCGACCACACCCACAAAGAACCCTGCACAAAGATCGCACGGGCGGGGACCTGTTCCTTTTTACCCATCTCCTAGACCTAGTAGAGGTGTCCGTTTTATTTATTTAGCCAGTCCCGTGCCTAGTGTCGTGAGAGGGAGTTGGCGGTAAAATTCTTTTCCTCGCGCTGCCAGTGCCCGCCAGTTCCGTGCCAGTGTTATACACACCAAATTCTTTTCCTCGCACGACACTGGGCACGGGACTGGTGTACCTGTGTTAGATCAGTCGGCGCGCCAGTCCCGTGCCCAGTGTCGTGCGAGGTAGGCGGTAAAAATCATTTCCAGTCACGTGTGTGGTGAAGCAAGGCTTTCCTGAATTCTTTTCCGCGCAAGAAAGAAAGAAAGAAATCAGCCAAGCCAAGCGCCAAGGGAGGGATGGGACTGGGACCACGGCACGCCGCCACCACACAGGAATTTTAAGGAGAGAGGAGTGTGGTGCTAGCCGTCACCCACCCTCGGGCGAGAGCCCATTGCCTTTAAGGTCAAGGCAAATTCTTTTTGCCAGTCCCGTGCCCAGTAAAGAAAGAAAGAAAACGGACAACCCAAGGGAGGGATGGGAGGACGGCACGCCGCCACCACACAGGGATTTTAAGGAGAGGGGTGTGGTGCGCTTCGTGCCCAGTGTTGTGCGAGGGAGCTTCGTTGTAAAATTCTCTTCGAGCGAAGGTTGTTCTGACTGTCGTTGCGGTCTATCCCTTTCTCGACTGTCTGAGCTTGAGAGAGAGATTTTTAGCAATACCAAACAACTCTAACACTCACACGTCATTTGGGGCCTGGAGCCCTGTTCACGCGCGCGCGAGACGTGCAGACAGGGTTGCCAGGTGAGAGCGAATGGCGCGGTTCACGCCTCGCACAACAGAGAGAGAGATGCGCTCTGCATGGTGGGACATAAAAGAAAGCGAGTACTTGGGCGAGTAGGCCGTGCGGTCGACGCTGCCGCGCGACCTTGCGCGCGCGGCGGCGCAGCTTGAGAACGGCGGTGGGCGAGAAGCCGCCGCCGAACGTCTCGTGGAGCAGCAGGTTGAAGTTGTTGCGCTTGACAAAGATCGCGTCGTGGTAGAAACCGCGATGCGCCTTGACGTAGCCGTGGCCGTTCTTGTGGTCGAAGGGTTGGCCGGGCTGCCCGCGCGCCTTGCAGCCCATGTTTAGGCGGCGGGCCTTCTCTTCGGTGTTGCCGAAGGCGTAGGAGTGGCCAACGGAGGCGGGCGTGCCGCCGCTCGAGGCGTTGCCAACGCCCGCCGAGGAGGTCTTGAGGAGGGGCGTCCAGAGCTTGACTTCATTCACCTCATCGCATCCTCCCGGGCCAGCGTGGGGTTCCGCGAGGTCGACCTTGTACCCCTTGTTGTACTGCCGGGTGAGCTCTGGTTTCTCCTTGTCACCGTGCACGACCGGCGCGTTGGCCGGGGCGCGCATCGCGTCCGCCCAGGCGGCGAGGACGCCGTCGTGGGGCCGCCGGTGGTGGGCCTTGTTGTAAAGGTAGTCGCCGAAGAAATCGACTGGCATACCCCGCTCGAGCGCGACCCGAAGGGTGGGAAGCGCCACGGAGAGCCAAAGGCCGAGCTTCCGCTGGAGCTCGTCCTGGAGGGCGTCGGAGGAGAGGGCGGTGGCGTACGTGCCGTCGACACGGACATCGAGGGCTTTGCCGGCGAAAGGCGTTGAGGCGGAGACGAAGCGCGAGGCTTCGCGGTTGTTGACGGCGCTGTCTCCGAGGGACGGGTTGTTCTTGACGTGCGCGTCCCGCGCCTTGACGAGCTCCTGGTGCGCGAACCAGTCCTTGTGATTCTTGATGGCAGCGAGCGCCCGCGGCCGCGGGTACGTGGATTTGCAAGTGCCATTGAGAATCGCGTCGGTAGCTGGAAGGGACTCGGGCTCGGGGAGCGGGACGCTCTTGGGGTAGAACTCAGTCAGGTAGCCGCCGCGGACGGTGTGGTACTTGGTTTTGTCGCGGGCGGCGCGCTTCTCGCACACCTCCTTCCAGTCCGAGAGGGCGGACTCGTAGGTGGCGATGGCTGCGGCGATGATGGGGTACTTGGACGCACCTCCCTCGTCGAGGGCGAAGTCGGAGTTGTGGGCGACGAGGGTGCGCCAGTTCTTGAGGAGCGACATGGAGAAGTCGCTGTCGGCTCGCGTGAAGGCGGTGTCGATGTTGCACCCGCCCATCTCGGTCGGCAGCTGCGCCTGGAGCCACGCGAGGTCGCGGAGCGCCTGGGGCGAGGCGTCGGCGCGAGCAATGCTCTCAAAGGACTTGCGGATGCGGTTGTGCGCAAACTCGAGAGCGTCGCACGCGACATTGGGCGGCGTGATGCCGGCAATGTACTTGGTCTTTGCGCAGGCAATCCGTTGGACGAGGTTGAGGCGGAGCTGCGAGGTGTTCGTGACGCAGTCAGTGTCGACGATCGTGTCGATGACGTCGAGCGGCGCGAGCTTCTTCCTGAGGTGCGCGGTGAGCTCCTTCTTGCAGGCTTCCGGGTCGCCAAAGAAGGTGCCGACGGCCTTGAAGCAGTCCACTCGCCCCGTGGGTTTGCCCTCCTTGTCGCGGTGCGCCGGCGAGCCCCGGAGCCAGCCCGGCGCGCACGAGAGGTCGCCCTCGGGCGAGTAGATGAGCGACTTGCTGACGCCGTCGAAGACGCTCGCTCCCTTCTTCTGCGCCTCGAGGAGGCCCTTTGGTCCGGAGTAGGCGGCGACGGCGCGCAAGGGCTCGTCGTTCTGGCAGATGTCGTCCGCAAAACCGATGAGGCGCATGCTCGGGTTGTCGCTTCTTGTGGCCTCCTCTCAAGTGGCTTTTTCGACGGCGTTGGTTTCGGGGTATTGTCGTGGCAGATGTCGTGGATGAAGCAGACGCTGAGGATGGTGGACAGCGCACGTCCCTGGATGACCCCGCAGGCGGACTTGGCGTAGTTGGGGTCGTTGTGGTCGGGGCACTCGAGGCTGAGTGGGTCCCAATCGGCGGCAGAGAAGTCCAGGTCGTCGCCGTCGGCGGAAGGCAGCCGCAAGGCGCCCTCGGCCTTGACAAGGCGGATGAAGCTGGGCGTGCCCATGATGAGGCGAGCGACGGGTAGGAGGTCAGGGCGTCGCTTGCGGATCCAGTCGAGGAGCTTGACGCGCCCACAGCCGTTGGGGTCAGGCTTGTTGTCGGCCGTGAGCGCCTGGGCGATCGTGTTGTAGAAGTTCTCCTTGTCGCCCGAGATGGTCGCGTTCTCCGGCTTCGTGCCGTGCCACCCCGCGACGGTGTGGGCGTACAGGTGAGTGCCGTTCTTGGAGAACGCGTAGATCTTCGGGAAGTTGACAGGCGCACGGGCGCGCTCCTCCGCAGCCTCGGCCGCCTCGAGGTCGGCGAGAGCGGTCTTCGCCTCGGTCGAGTCAAGCCCGTGCGTGATGCACCTCGAAGTGTACGCGGCTTCTGCGGTGGCGGTGGTGACGGTGGCGTCCTCGAGTGCCTCCGCCCTGGCCTTGGCAACCTCGGGCAGCTGCGTGGTGCAGAACTGCTCCGCCCAGTCGCGCTCCTGGAGCGCGATGCACCGTTCAGCTGAGCGCGTGAAGATGCTGCAGAGCCCGAGGGGCCTGCAGCTGACGCCATCGTCCTTCCAGAGGCAGACGGCGTTGAGGTCGTCCTCGAGCCGCTTGAGACGCTCGTGCATGACACCCCAGCCAACGGAGGTGCAGAAGTTGAAGAGGCAGTCCGCCCCGTCGGTCGACTCGGTGATGATGCGGACGAGCTCGTAGTCGACTTGGGTCGGGCCGCCCTTGCGGGCGCGAGGCAAAGACTTTGCGAACTTGTTGAAGAACTTCCTCTTCAGTTCATAGCGCGCAACGCCCGGTTCGTCGGCGGTGACACTGGCAGGCGGGGCCCGCGCTTGCGGCGTCTTGCCGAGGTAGTTGGCGACAACCTTGGGGTCGCGGCCGTCGGCGGGCGCGGAGGGCGAGAAGGCCGCCCACACCTTGCCGAACTCGCCCCGGTTCGCGTAGTAGTGGGCCCTCTTGACCATCTGTTCCATGGAAGGCTGCGAGGGGCCCGGCGAGTCGGCAGCGTCGCCCTGCTCCAGTGGGGTGGGCGGGACGGAGGCGGAGAGCGCCAGCTCTTTCCAGAGGGCCAGGAAGCCGTCGGGCGAGTGGGCGATGGTTGCGGCGCGCTCGACCATCTGGTCGGTCGTGTAGCGCGGCGAGCCGCTCGGCCGGCAGGTGACGAGGATCGTCGACGCGACGACGAAGATGGCACCTCGGGCGCCGTCTTCGGTGCCGGGCGCGTTGGGGTTGCCGCCGAAGGCCTTCATCCCGAACTCGAGCATTGAGCGGATCTTTGCACGGTACTCCTTGTTGTCGGGGAAGTCCTGGCTCTGCAGGTGGAGACGCTTGAGGCACTCGATCGAGACGCTGTCGCAGATGGAGAGATCGTAGTCTGCGGCGGGCGTGGTGTTGAGATTGATCGTGTCGGCCACCCCCGAGGGGGAGTTCCAAGCGAGCGAGACGCCGGTGGCGTTGCGGAGGGCGGCAACAGCAGCAGCAGAGGACGCAGCGGCGCCCGGGACGGCGGGCGCCCACGCGAGCCGCCGGGCGCGAGTGGCAGCCGAGACGCCACGGTTGTCAGCGTGGGTCAGGTTGGCGCCCGGTGTGCCCGGCGCCGCGTGCTGCAGTGCCTTGGCGATGGCGTCGGTGCACTCGGCCTTCGGCGTGATCTTCTCCTTGTGGGCTTTGTGCAGCGGGTCGTTGCGGGACGAGAGGTGGTTGAAGAACATGCTCGTCCCGTTGCCACCCGAGCCATCCGGAAGTTTGTTGGGGATGAGGCAGCAAATCTGAGCGCAGCACCCGCACTTGGTGAGCCCACTGGAGGCGAGGTCCACGGGCGTGTAGTTGTGCGTCTTGAAGTGCGTGCAGAGCGACTTGGCTGTCCCGAATTCTTGGGCGCAGATGGAGCAAGAGAAGGTTTGGCGAGGCGGGTTGGTGTTGGAGCTGCTGGCGGCTTGCGCCCCCCTCGCCTGCCCCGCCTCGCTTCCCTCCACGCTCTCTCCTCCGACGTCCTCGTCGGACGATTCCTCGTCGCTGTCGTGGCCACTGTAAGACAGCGGGGGCTTGCTCCCGTCGCGGCGCTTGAGGCGCTGGGAGATGGGCCTCTCATCCATGTCGACGTCGCCCTCTGAGGTGGGCACACCCGTCGTGGCGTCGACATGCTCTGGAGACGCAGGAAGGCCGTCTAGGAGGGCTGCACCGACGTCTGCCGGATCGGATTCGGCGCCGTCGCCCGCCGGGGCGATGGCGGGATCGGTTTTGTTTTCTGAGCTTGTGCGTCTTGGGTCCGGGGTTATAAATAAATAAATAGAGCAGACATCTCCAGGAGAGATGGGCGACGCACGAACACAGAGGGACAGTGCGCACCCCGCCCCGCTCGCAGGGCGTGCAGCACACAGCAAGGGTCCGGGGTTGTGTTTTTGTCCGAGGCTGCTAAAATTCTTTTCCTCGCAGGTGGCGTTTATTTTTGCTTGGCCGGACATCATGCCGGGGTAGGTAGGGTAGGGTCTGGGCCCTCCCGTCGGGTTTTTCCCTCTCTCACGCCGGAATTTTCACAGCAGAAAAAGAATTTTTCCGCCCAAATCACGATGTCAACCCTCCCCAAGTCGTTGATCTGGTGCTTGTAGGGCTTGAGAGTGGCCTGCCATGTCACAGGAAGGACTGTGGTTGCAGGATAGTACCACCAGCCATCACTTTAGTTGGTATAGTACCCCACCTTCACCCAGCCCGTGATTTCTTTTTTAGTTTCCCATAAGTAAGGTAGGTAGGTAGGTAGGTAGGTAGGGGCAGGGCAGGGGCCGGTCAGGTTTTTGCAGAATTTCAGCATGATGTCCGGCCAAGCAAAAATAAACGCCACCTGTTCCTCGAGGAAGCCCGCGACGCTTCTAGAGGGCAGCGACATGGCCGCAGCTCAGGCGCTCAACAACCTTGCACGCGCGGCGGTCGGCATTGGCGCCGGCGTGAGTCTCTTCCAGGCCTCGGTGTACGACGTCGACGGCGGTTTCCGCGCCGTGATGTTCGACCGGCTTCGCGGCGTGCAGGCGCGTGGCGGCGGCGACCAGCGAGAGCCCGGCGAGAGTGGCGTGCGGGGCAGGGACAGCGGAGAATCCGCAGCGCACCGCTCGCCGGTGGCGGCATGCGCGTGCTGCTCCCCCTCCGACGCCTGCCCGCTTGCACTCCTCGCCGCCACCGCCCCTTGGCGCTGCCGCTGCCCTCGGGGCTCCCGCCACCGACCGCCGCCGCCGCCGCCGTTGCACTCGCTGGCGTACACTCACCGCTCCCGCCACTCCCGCCGCAGAAAACTGTCTACGGCGAGGGGACGCACTTCCGGATCCCGTGGCTGCAGACGCCGCACACGTTTGACATCCGGATGCAGCCGCGCAACATTGCCTCGACGACGGGGACCAAAGACCTGCAGGTGGTGACCATCAACCTGCGCGTGCTCTCGCGGCCGCAGGTGCACGGCCTACCCGCCCTCCCCCGCCGCCGCCCGCCGCCGCCCACGCACCTCTCCACTTCCCCTTTTCCCTCGCGTCTCTCCGTCGCTGCCGCCGCCGCACCGCGCGCCTCGCCTCGGACCTCCCTCCGATACCCCTCCGATACCCCTCCGATACCCCTCCGATACCCCTCCGCGCGCCCCCCTTCCCAGGTCGAGCACCTGCCCGACATCTTCTCCTCGCTCGGCATCGACTACGACGAGCGCGTGCTACCCTCCATCGGCAACGAGGCGCGCCCTCTCTCCCTCCTCGCCCCCGCCCCTCCCCTCTCCCCTCCCCTCTCCCCTCCTCCCCTCCCCTCCTCCTCTCCTCCCCTGCAGCTGGCGGCTCTGCGGGCTCCATTCCCTCACGCGCGCCGCGCCACGCCCTTGCCCTGCAGGTTCTCAAGGCGGTGGTGGCGCAGTACAACGCGGAGCAGCTCATCACGCAGCGGAGCGAGGTGTCGCGCACCGCAAGCGCCAGGCGCATTCAGGCCTCGGGTGGAGCTCCTCGCCTCCGCCAATGAATAGGTGTCGAAAACGGTGCGGACCACGCTCACCAAGCGGGCCGCCGACTTCCACATCGACCTCGACGACGTCGCCATCACCGACCTCAAGTTCGGAAAGGACTTTACCGCGGCGATCGAGTCCAAGCAGGTGGCCGAGCAGGACGCGGAGCGGGCTAAGTTCATGGTGCTCAAGGCGGAGCAGGAGAAGCAGGCGCAGCTCCTCAGGGCGGAGGGCCTGGTCGCCGCCGAGGAGACGCCACCACTCCTCCGCGCCGTGCCGCGTAGGCCTCCATCATCAAGGCGGAGGGCGAGTCCGAGGCGGCTGGCCTCGTCTCGCAGGCGCTGGAGGACTCGCCCGCCCTCGTCGAGCTGCGCCGCATCGAGGTGTACATCTCCCCATACCTCCCCATACCTCCCCATATCTCCCCATATCTCCCCATATCTCGCCCGCCCTCGTCGAGCTGCGCCGCATCGAGGCGCAAAGACACACGCCGCCACCACCCTCCCTCCGCTACCACCTTCCCTCCGCCTTCTCCCCCCCTCCGCCACCTCCCCCCCTCGGCCACCTCCCTCCCTCGCCACCGCCCCGCTGCCGCCCCGCCCCATCCGCAGGCGGCCAAGGACATCGCCGAGACTCTCGCCCGCTCGCGCAACGTCACCTACCTGCCGTGCGGCGGCGCGGGCGGCGGGCAGAACCTGCTGCTCAACGTGGGCGCTGGTGGGCAGTGAGTGCGCGGGTCGGAGGCTGCGCCGCCTCTTTCCTCTCCAGCTAGCTAGCTTCCTCCCTCCTCCCCTCCTCCCCGCCCTCCCCTCCCTACCACTGCGATGAAGAGGGTACGCCGGGGGCCAGCGTACCCTCTAGCCCGCCCCCTCTCTGTGCCCGCGGCGCTCTCCGCAAGGACGGCGCCTCTCTATTCGTGCATGCTTTATTGGTGTTGCGGGGCGCACTCTTACGCGGCGACCCGGCTCGGCGCGGGCCACTGTGTGTGATCGCGCTCGAAGTTGAGACGAGATGATGAGAGATGATCCAGTTCCAGAGCAAAAACGACAACGCGTTGTCTCTCGTGTCGGGCGTCATATTAAAACCACTTGATACGGGGTGCACGAGCATCTCGCTTCTCGGCGCGACATGCGGCGCGATCTCTCTCTCTCGACTCTCTAGAGACTCTCTACCACTCTCTCCCGTAGACGTAGGAGAGTGAAACACCGTAATCCGGACGACACCTGCCGGATACCACGTCCACGAGTAGCTAGTACGGCTCGCGTCTTAAGAAGTAAGATCCCCGATCTCGCGCCGTGTGTGTGCACCCACAAAGTTCCTGCAGTATCGGCCGGCCACCATACCCGCCCTGCCGGAGAAGCGGCGGGCGGAACCCTTGCCCTCCGCCAGCGCGCTGCAAGCGTGGAGAGTGCGGCACCGCTCGCACGAGCAGAGCTGCTACGAGGGAGACGCGCGTCACGCGCGCGAGCAGGAGGGGCCCAACAGTCGCCCCATCCCTAGGGCCCGGAGCGGCTGCCCCTCCCGCCGCATGCCTCACGCGGGCCGGCCGCGCTTGGCTGCCGACGCCTCCGCCTCCGGCCGGCTCCTGCGCTTGTTGCCGGTCGTGTTGTGGTTGTCGGCAGAGGCAGAGCCACCCCTCGAGCGGGAGCGGTCCTCGCCAGAGCCTACGGTGCACCCCGCCCCGGCTCCGGTGAGGCCGACCCACCCCCGCCCCTCCCCCGCCGCGAGCACCTGCCGCGCCCTCGCCGCCGCCGCAGCCCTCGCCCCCCGCCGCCGCCTCGGCCGCCGCCGCCGCGGAGAGCGGCACGAGAGTGCGCGTGTCGTTGCAGCGCTCGACTGCCTCGCCGGCGTGCCTGCGGAGGGGGCAGGTGGTGGTGCTTGGTGGTGGTGGTGGTGGTGGTGTGGTTGTGGTGGTGGTGGTGGTGGTGTGGTTGTGGTTGTGGTGGTGGTGGTTGGTGGTGGTGTGGTGGTGGTTGGTGGTGGTGGTGGGATTGGGGGGGGGGGGGGGGGAGGCCCACTTTTGGTGGCGCCTGAGCAAGTT